TTGCACTACCAAATGGAATGTCCAGCTACATTCCTTACATTAGTTACATAACAAAATAGAACGAATGTGTTTTCATATAAACTTCTTCTTTATGTTTACTGTACCGCTACAATGATCCAGAAGAATGGGAAAGAAACCTTTATAATATATTTTAATTGTACATTTGAAATTAATGTATTATTTGTGTCTTTTCTATATATTATATATGTTGCACAGAAAGTGTATATATTCCGTCTCTCTATCTATTTTTTATCTTTATAATATATCCATATTCCATTTCTGCAGATAGCATAGCTGTCAAAGAAATGTATGGAATAGAAGACGATTTTCTTTTACATTAAAAAGGCTGTACGTAAGGAGCCTATAATTGCATGTGACTGTACTTTGTCAGATACAATCTCTCAACTCCACCACGGCTGACATTTAACTCAAGTTACGCCAGAAATAGGTACTTCACGTCTCTCATGTACTATAATTAAAAGTTCTTTTTTATTTCAATTTACTCATCACATTGTTGCTGAGTATAGATGGTCAAAATATTATTTCATCGTTTTATGTGATATCCAATTTATAAAGACCCACATATCACGGTTTTAATTGAAAATGAAGGTCAGGTTGTATATCCCATGGTTGCGTGCATTTTAATCTTATATATAAAATTCTCGTGTCATAGTTTTCGTTCCCATACTCCTCCGAAACGGCTTTACCGATTCTCATGAAATTTTGTGAGCGTATTGAGTAGGTCTGAGAATCGGACAACATCTATTTTTCATCCCCCTAAATGTTAGGGGCAGTCCACCCTTAATTTGTTTATTTATTTTTTAGACAACATTTTTAGTTTCTTTTTTTATGATACAACATACAAAAATACATACAATTTTTCTAAATTTTAAATACATTCTAAATTTTCACCCTTCTATCATGAACCCCTATTTTTTTATAGCGTTATTAATTTATATGGCAAAACAACGTTTGCCGAGACAACTAGTAAAATATATATATGAGTTATTAAATTAGGCTTATAATAAAGAACGAATTGTTGAATTATATTGAATAATAATTCAATATAATTCAACAATATTCTTGATATAAATAACAAAGAAATAAATGCTAAATTATTTCGTGAACAACAATAGATAATTAATTACGTTGTTTTTTTTATAACTAATGTACTAGAAGGAAGTGATAGACAAAGTCTACTTTAGTTCATTTTCTAAATTTTGGAAAACCCGGAAGTCAGTATTTAAAAAATATACTAATTTTAGCCTAAGTCTAAAAATATACTAATTGTAACCTAACCTAAGACAATCTGCTATCTGGAACAGCGATACGATGGCATCGGTGATCTAGCGGTTTAGAAGATCTCTCTGCTTCCGATGATCGCTGGTTCGATTCCTCGCACGGTCTGAGTCTTTTCTATGTATGTATTTACCAAAAAAAATTATTAAGTATTCTATATAATGTCGTAAGTTATCTAGTACATATAACACAAGCTCTGCTCGACTACTATTTATTATTATTATATATTATTCAATCTTACAATCTTTCTAATATATTACCATTGGATTTATTTTTTAAACTACGTGTATAAGTCTACAGATAGTAAAATAATTAATGTTAAAAAGTAAACCCACGAGGTACTGAACTAGGTTAATGGCTAGATTAAGTTATATAGCCGTCGAGTAAACGCAGTAGTTTATCTACATAAGCGTATTACATCAGAAATGCTGCACCATTTTTCTGTGGTACTGGTTATTTTCTAATTACTAGGAATTAGTTTGTAGTCTATTAATATATATATATGAACATGTGTATATACCTATATATACTCTGATGCATGTGTATGTTTTTTTAATGGATGTTAATGGAATGGTGCACCCGCCTGCGCTAACGGTTTCACTGGCGGGGCCCTAGAGGAAGAAGCAACAGATCAAGACAATTGGTCCATATTGGTAAATTTGCCAGGAGTTTATCACCATGGTTTCCAGGGGGATTCGCGTGAGGATCTTGACGTTGCCTTTCAATAATTAATAAACATAACATACGTTACTAAACGTATATATTATAATATATTGCTTATATGAATGTGTGGCCAATAATTAATAGATGCCAATAAAAATAGCTATTTTATTTTTACGATTGAAAATCATACGATGACAGAAAAAAATTGTTTACAATATCTAATCTAGATATAAAAAAGAAATGTCTTGTGGACATTAATTTGTTTGATTTGTTCAGTTGTTCCATTACATCGTCGTATTGTACTAAATGAAGAAAATAAAACCAATTATTTTTATTTTATATGTGGTCTTATTTTCTTTATTGAATACAACGGTTAAAATTCGGAGCGATCAGCTAGTTCGTAATAAATTACAAATTTACTGACAACAGTATAAAGTTATCAAAGTCACTTTCCTTTGACGTCACTCTTAAAATAACTAAAAAAAACAAAGCTAATTCTGAGCTTCGTATTCCCAGCTGAAAAACAGCGAAACAATCTTGCCGTATAAAATAGGTATGAGCCCTGGGAGACCAGAGCGGACACTACTATGTATTTACGCAATATAACAAAATAAAAAAAATCCTTAATTTTTCCAACAATCTTGCGAATACTGAATATCTTTCAAAGAAAAAAATGTTATATAAGATTTCCTTTTTTTTAATATTATTTTCAACAAATCAGTAAGTACACCAACTGTCTAATAAGTTGTTTTTTTTAACAATCGTATTATCAATGCAGAATAAATGTCTTTATTATTATATTTAGCTTTCGTGTTACAACCATACAAAGTTTGTCATGATTGAAATTCTACTTGCAGCTTGGTCAATTTAAGATTGCATATTCGTTATTTTTATTTTTTCACTTAATTTCTCACTCTTCCTCTCATATTATATAATCTCCATAAATTTGTTATAGTGACATTATTTTGAAAGAAAAAATAATAATTAATATTACAATAATACATTATTATAATAATAAAATCGTGTTCATATATGTGCAGTGAGTTAATGAAAATACACTCCATTTTTACCCAGATTGTCGGTACAGTTGATTAGCAAAAAATACATAGCCGGCCGACCACTGTTTGGAAACCACTTATTCTGAAATTTATAATCTAAGATATCTAGAATATACTAATATAGCAAACTAGATTTCTCTGTATATGGAGAATGAAATGAAAAATATTTAAAAATCTCACTTACGATTCAAATTCGTGTTAAATAACCATGGTAGGGGTCAAATTCGCCAATTAAAAATGTATCGTGTACCAAAGCGACGTCAACCGTGCCATTAACTATACAGTTAAGTCAATGAACATTGTGTAATAACAGAATACCGAAACAGGTGGAATTATTTAACGGATCGAACAGATCTGGTTTCTGCTCCCAAGTTCCAAACTATAATAAGTCAATTCCTGGAGGAAATTTTTAAAATAGTAATAGGAGAATATAATAATGATTTGAAAATAGACTACGTGCCATATAATATAATTCCATATAAATCAATATGCTATTAAGTCTATTTGTTTAAATTTGTAAATGATTCAATTTTATACTGTAAACGTAAAAATAGCTGTTTCTCTTGTTTTGTGATCTATTCATATAATACCTAGGTGATAATTAATAATTATAATTACCATGTCCCCTTAGGAGTTCATTTAAAAAATATATTTATAAAAGGTTAATTTCATATTCATCAAGTCAGTCTATTGTGAAAAAATTTTTGTAGATTATTTAAAAACAAAATCATTTATTATGAATTTGGAGTGACAATGTTTAATAAACTGATGCCCCAGAAAATGGCAACGGTCACATAGACGTGATGTATATCCGGCAATACACGCGTGATACCTCCCATACCTATATGTATATGAAAGTAAACTCAGATACAACGAATGATAGTAATCTGTGGAAGAGGAACGCTTTCCTACTTTTGATTTGCTACATCAGAGACGAGAGAGAAAAATTTTAATATAATTTTTAAGTAGACCAGTTTTGGAAAAGCTAGTCCAACTTGAAAGTGCATAAATGCCTGCAAAATTCAAGGTACTACGAGATGAGGTTTTGTGAATTACACGTCTTGAGTAATATTATTTAATCATTTCTTAACCACATCTCATCCTTTACAGTAGAGACCGGCTTGCGAGCAATATTGACTGCAAAAATAGGTGAAGCAAAAGTACCCATGCAGATAACTTTGTACAAAGCCTCCCTCTGCTAAAAGCTTTATAAACTGCAGCTTAATAAAGGCTTTATTAAGCTTTGCAATGTTTAATTAGTTAATAATTCACTTACATTCGCCACGAACGGCTGAGAGCGAAGCTAGGTAGAATATTCAATTAAATATATTATTAGTAAGAGACCTAACTGTATTTAGGATTTATAATATCCTATAGATGACGTAATTATTCACTGGCATACATCGGTCTAAGATAACTAATTATATAATTTATTATTTTTGAGTCCTACCCTCAAATTCAGACGACAATTTCTGTTGATAGGAACCGGCAAATAACTCTATTGTTTGTTTTTTAAAGTCGACCTGTTACTATCATTTACTTGTTTGAGTGAACTGTGCGCTATGTAGAATTTGTCTGACACGGTGCATTAAATACAGACACAAACAAATAAGATCTTTATAAAGAACTTTGCCTAGTGAGTGAGTATTAATAAAAGTTTTAAATTTATTGAAAGGCAATATGAGAATACAAGTTTTAAAACTTATATTCACAGAAGCAAATACGTTTCTTGCCCTTTCTTCTTGACTGAATCTGCATTCGGAATGTGCGGTGGAATAATAAAATTCTAAACTCCTTACAATGAAGTTTATTTCAAGAAAGAAGATTTATTTCTAATACCCTTCACATTGTAAAATGTAACACCCATTCGTATAAAAGATATAGGTGTATACTTTTCTCAAAGATCCTTAGATGCAGCTCAATGTCTACATTGTTGCAAACTTCTTTGATATATGAAAATAAATATTTTTCATTCTGCAGAATAGATATGTCCCGTGTCTACGAGGACATAGACCCGGCATATGCTGCCACCTGCAGTGACGTCACACTATGTTCCAACACCAAGGGTTTCTTCAAGAGTTTGAGCGATGAACTAGTCGCTATCGCTGACAAAGGATGGATAAAACGGCTGGAGAATATGGAAGAAGAGAGAAAGTTACAAGCCATAAAGGATAATAAGGAGGTAATAAAATTTCGGTATAGTAAGATCTATAAACTGCGACTATCTATTGTAGGAGATTTTGTAGGCTTTGTAGAAAGTCATCTGCATAGGAATCTATCTCTATATTCTACCACTAAGAACCTGGCTTTGTCTAATATGTTTTGGTAAGTGGTGATATTAGAGAGTAACTGAGTACGGGGATATGATATTTTAGTCTTTCGGAATATCAACGCATGCGTAGATGTGCGTAGATGTGCGTGCGATGTCATATTGTAACGTAATACTTATGGTGCTGTTCATGTTCATAGGAGATAGTCACCACTGTCTATTTGGTCTGTCAGCTGTCATCTTTTTACACAAATATGTTATTTAAAAAGCCAACAGCATATTACACATATTTACACACATTCAAAATTATTAATTTTTATATAAAATGTCTTATATTTATGAACCAAACTTTGGAAAGGGCAGTGATATTTGATATCAGTTTAGCATTAAATAAGCATATACTTAAGGATTAATTACTACTTCCTAATTCACATAACTCATTGATTATATCTCTATAAAAATAATATAAATTCAGAGTACGATTAGGTACTATAAATTGAAATTAAATTAAATAATGCGGTGAAATGAAATGAAATGATAATTTATCAGGGACATATTGATGCAGTAACTTAGATTATTAATCTGCAATATTGATATGGGCTTCCAGCTTACGCCAAGAGACGAATGGTTGGTGTGTTTCATTTTCAATTAAATTAAAACTGTACTTGTTTGAAAATATATTCTGTTGCAAAATCGTTTTATTTTCTTTATTTATAAAATAATGTAGGTTACTTTATATTTAGAACTAGCTGTCCTCGCGCCTTCGTCCGCGTGGAATTTAACTTTATTTTTCTAAAATAAAAGTAGCCTAAGTTACTCCTTATTGCATCAGCTGCCTGATAAAAAAAGCCCCGTCAACATGGGTCCAGCTATTTCAGAGATAAGCCGGATTAAACAGACAGACAAAAATTGTAATAAATGTTATTTTGGTATATGTACCGTATTTATATTCATAGGCAATCATTTCAATATACAATTACTACAATTTTATTTATATGTATATATGTGTGAGATAAGAAGTCGTGTCGCGACGTACCTCTCCGTTCATTTAGCCACCACTTTTTTTTAAAGTTAAGTTTCAAAAGCAATATGTAGTTCAGGCAGTGAAATTACAGGATTTGAGCCAAGATATCCTAGTTCTCTGGAATAGCAACGCATGAGTTTTATCGCGGTAGTCATATAATAACGCGATGTTCATTGGTGGATTCAAGTATATAGGATGTCACGGTCAGCCCTTACCATCGCGTGTTTATAATTTCAATTACATAAAAAATGTGATTGATGGCTTTGGTACTTTTAGCACACCTCTTTACTTCTTCTGTTTTAAGTATAGCTCTTTATTAATGAGTATGATTGTCTAGCTTTTTTTTATGGGCATCAATATGTATTTACAAGAGAAGTATTTCTATCGGTTATTTTATATTCATAATATGAACATCACAACTTATGAAAGTATAGTATTTTCTGAATTGTAACATTTACAAATAACCTGGAGCCATGGGACTCGATATTTACGACATAATGATTTTAGTTTAAGACTATACCATTGTAAACATGGCTATTTTTATTGATATTATTGGAAAATTGATATTATTCAACGTTCAATTTTAACATTTCGTTACAAGAACATCCTTGACACTTAATTAAAAACCTATTTGACATTATTTAAAAGAATAACTGAATCGTTTATTTTTAAAAACATTGCGACATTACAGTAAGTTTAATAGACTCATTTAAGTTTCGTTTCCATGATGAACTCTTAAGACGTAATATTTATTTACTCAGTGTCCACAGCCACTCGACTGGATAAAGTTCATATAGCGTCATCTATACATAATGTGACCACACGTCCTATTTTACGTAGGACAGAACGGCTTTCAGATTAATTTTCAATTTTTTAGTAAACATTTGTATGCATTTTCAATTAAAATTCCCCTCCAATCGATCCCCCGTCCAATTCAAACGGGGATCGAAATTACTACAGATTGAACGGAGGTTCGAACTCCTAGCGGTGCCCTCACACTAAAATCGTATCCATCAGGCGGGAGTTGGCCTTCAGCCGCTCCATAAGTCCTTTTGCGGGTTTGGAGTGCCATCTGCACTCGCCTCCTATCGTCCTGTGAAGCTGTAAAGCCCAGCTGCGGCCAAGAACATTAAAGTAGTCCGAAAAAAAAATTACAACAAAATAATAATACAGCAAAAGATGAACATTAAATATTAATTAAACAGTAATTTAAAAAGAAATAACAAGTGTTATCTGATAACACACAACGCGTGTACTGGCAGCAGTGTAAATAGGCCTGAGCTAGTGGTATTTGGCCAGGGAGCAAACAATGATTTTCAACTCTAGGGTATAGTAAATATGAAGTAAAATTAAAGAATATATGAAGCATGCATTAAGTATGATAATATTGATAATACAGTTTGTTCTTAAAATTAATAAAGTATATTAATAAGTAACGATTTACTATATATATGCATTCTTCATGTAATCTCTTCTTTTTAAATATTCGCAAGTATCTCACTTTGATAGATAATAAATGGTTACGTTATCCAGCCTCCGCTTTGCGAGTTCAGTAAAGAGCAACTTGCACTCTTGACCTGATTGCCGCGCCGATGTACACACATCTTAATGAATAACCCTTACCGCTCTTATAAGGGAAATCAATTTCGCGCTACCTATCAGCGATAGAGACTTTATTGCAACTATATTAAAGGCGATTTTACGGTGCACCCGGGGACGTGATATCGTAACATGTCGCATGTTGCACATTTTGCTCCTGTCACAGTATAAATCTAGAGCTTTATTTTAATCAAGTCGAAGCTTTTTCCTGAGTGCCACTATGTGCAGCCAATATTGGCTTTAAAGGGGATAGGTTTACCATCCTTCAATTTCAAGCCAGCCAGTATTTTTAGGGCTTCCAATCAATAAGTTTAGATGCAACGAGACATTTTTATTTTGTACTAGTCGCTGTTACAGTATTATATATTAGGTATAAACGCTAATAATTTGTAATTTGATATATGTTTTTCGTATTGCTTAATATTATTGCATAATTTTTGCATATTTTTAATTTTTAATATCAGTTACTTCATAACTGATATTAAAAATTATAATCGAAAATACAAATTGGGTTTCATGTTAAATGGAGACACATATATTCATTTCACATATTTCATTTTAATACATAAAAAAGATTATCATAATTAATAAATACAGTAAAAAAATAAATAACCCTGGATCTGAAAACACCCAAGCCGATACAAACAATCGTACTCAAGTATACAAATGTTTGCACCGTGCTAGGAATCGAACCCGCGACCATTGGAAGTAAAGCGGTGTGCTAAAACCGCGAGACCACCGAGGCAGTCAAGGGTCTTAATGACTCTAATCAATAAATAAAGTTATTTCGAATTGAGTTACACCGTTATTTGGAACCCTCAGTGTGTGAATCAGACTCTCATCTGACCTATTTCATTTAATAACGTACAGTCTAAACTAAAATTCGACACGTGATAGAGGCAGCGCATTTTATATAGGATTTATGCTGACTAAAACCCAGACGGTACACCTGCAAGAGTAAACTTGCCTGAATGCTGGAATAAGATAGTGTTTACATTCAACCTCGGCGGCAAAGCCTCGTCTCTCTCTAGTAGACGCTTTTATATTAAAATACAATCTCATCTCCTTTAGTAGCGGTATATATAATATTTCGCATTTTATTATTACGTTACATTCGCCTAATTAATTTTGTAATTAGACGAAAATATGAGGAACTTTTTCTATTTTTACTACTAATCATTCTGTTTCTCTGAATCTTTAGGAAATAATAAATTTGATGCCATATACGAATAATATAAAAGCAATATTAAATAGTATTATGTTAAATAATCGGTGTAAAAATAGAAAATAAAGTCACTACCTACTGCCTAAACACGCTATCTGGACTGACTAACAGAGAAGATGTTTTTAGATAGATCCATTTTTTATTTCCTTGTCTCTAATTGGCATTATTTTAAAATAGAAAATCATACTATGGCTTCGATATGCTAATTATAAAAATTATTAATTGGAATGTCAGAGAAACATATCTACATATATGCATATATGTATAAAAGATATAGGAACTTCTTTTAAACAAATATCTAGTATTTTATTATTATTTATAAAATTAATTAACGTTAATAATTAATTCTATTATATGAAAGAATATCTAGAGAATACCTCCACAATTAATTTATAGAACATAAACAGAGGAAAGGTATGTTTTAATGAAGTTTATACACTCGGAGGAAACTAAATACAGGAAACAAATGTTAGCGCTACATACGTTTCCTGTATTATGTTTTTTCAACTTACTACAGAGAACAGAGAGATTTATTCAGTATGAAATAACACCATAAATTATAACTACTATATTGATTTTTTGTCTATATATATATATTCTTTCATTTTGTTTGTTTATTATTAGCTGTGCCCGCGGTTTCACCTGCGATAAAAATATATGTAGCCTATATGTTATTCTGATGCATAAGCTACTATATAATATTACTGTAAAGTTTCATCAAAATCCGTTCAGTAGTTTTCGCGTAAAAGAGTAACAAACATCCATATTTATAAACTTTCGCGTTTCTGATATTGTTAAGATTGGTAGATCGAACGGCGTTGACAAATAAGTTAAGAATCACACATTTTTATGTGATTCTTCATATCAAAATTAAGTTATAAAACTTTGCAGATTATGGATGCCCTAGGCGAAGTATTGTCAAGGATACAACCATTGCACAGAGGGAAGGATGTTAGGGTGTCTCATGAGCGATGGCAGGCTGCTAAAGCGGCGATGGATACTGAACAACTAAATAAAGCATTAGCCCTCGCCACCCAGGCTGTTTTCAAAGCCCCAGTAACAGGTATTGAATTAATAATGAACCATTGACAACTAACATTGGGAACTATTCTATAGATACTGCATAATTTATAATATATCCTAATTCATTAGGAAAATTTTCAATACTAACCTAGGTAACTTTGTAGAAGTCGTTGTTTTATTACATTACTAAAATCATTCCTACAAATAAAATACAATTAAATTTATTCCTTAATATAAATTTTGGCAATGTACAAGGTTATAGCAACATCCACTTATGGTAGGTAAGGTAGAGTGCAAAAGTAGACTATTTACGTTCGTGAATATTTCATATATTTATGAAATATTCAGAAATTAAAGTTGAAATACTACACTAAAAATATTATATCGAGATATACTTTTCCTGTAGGGAATATAATAAATATTCAATGTTAGTATTCAGTGCTATATGTGAAACTCATTAATAATCAATAAATGCTACATTTCCCTCCAAAAGTAGTCACAAAAGGTACTGGAAGCACTACTTATTTATAAACAATTTGTTTGGAGAACTAGTCCCTGCACTGGGAATAAACCATAAACAAGAAAAAAATATTCAAACGTTATAGAAAACTAGTACTTGCATATTCTTTAGAAGAATTTAATATTCTCGATCTTTTATTAAATTTGTTATTTTCATAACACTATGTTAAAATAAGTCTTCGAACGAGATTAAACCAAGACTAATCGCAATAAGCAGGAACCTTATAGAATAAATAAAATTGCATCTGTATTCTGTACCAGGTTTTAAAATCTCTCCGCTTTAATTATAATAAGCGCAACGTACAAACGAACGGAGGCTTTCCCCAGTGTAATACCCACTATTATTAAAAAGCAATATTGTATTTCTCTGCCAGTTCTTATACTTTGTCATTTAAAAACGATTTCTCTAAGATGTCGACTAAAATGATAAAATATAAGAAGAAGCTGGTTATTTGATGTAATATTATGGTGCTACTGTTGAACAAAATGCATAGAACTTTGTAAACAGCTTGTTACAGATATTAAACGTGTATATATAATATATAGGACGCGACATTACGCCATTGGAGATTCGAGTTTCGTAAATAATAAGTAAGCGCGATGCCGTTGTATTGAAAAATAAATATTTGCAAACAAAATAAATTGCTGCACTATTTCTATTTATTGCCTATTTTATTAGGTATCATTGTATAGAATTTGCGTTACTTTCGCACGAGTAAATCTTGCTAACAATGCATTGATTTTAATACTATTCTAATTGCTATACGCCACCTCGTTTGCAAAATCTTTCTCTCACTTATTTCAGATTTGCTAGATTATTATTAGATATAAAACATAGACTATCTTCATTCTCGTGATACAGTCTATATTCTATTCTATTGCAAAATTTTATTAAGATGTTTTCAGAAGTTTCTTTGTGAAAAGGCAAAAAAACAAACAGATTGACAATTTGTCATTTATTATTAATAATATTTTATGCCTATTCATATAAGATTAATCCTATTTTTTAAAGAATATTCTTATTATATTTCCGTCTTTCGCAAAAATTATTTTGGCTTTAACCAGAAGTTTCTTTAGGGTGAATATTGTGCGTTAGTCAAAGCGTTTCGTCCAGCACGGTAGACAGGTATAATGAACACAAGTTTAAATAATATCCATCACTGCCCAATCATGGGGTCAGTTGGATATTATTTAATTTAATTTTAATTCATGATGAGTTAATCAGTATATCAGATTCTCTATTTGCATCACCAGACGGTTAATAAAATATGAATTACAATGTAAATACTTAATTTCTTAAATCCTCTTTATATTACTGTTTGTGACTAGAGCAATTTTTATTGAATATCTTTAATAATTGTAATAAATGTGTATGATTGCAAAAATATAAAAAACAAATATGAAAATAATACATAACTTATAATCTGCTAGCAACACTATTTAACCTGCATTAACATACGTACTCATATACATATACCAAGTTTCAACATTCAAAATTTGTAGTTATTAAATTTAATCCGTATCTGCGGCTGCAGTATAAGCACCATAATATCTTATCTTCAACTTAGAATACGGCTGCAAACAGCATCAGAGTGTGTCCTAATTAATTTGCCGGCACACAGCCGCACTGCGTGCTCTAGTGAGGCACAGAGCGCAAAGCTCATCACGATCCCTAGACATTTACCCTGAAAATCCGCTATTGCAGTCTTATGAAACGGGAATCTTATGAATCTTATAAGTAATCGATTAAATGGGTAATTTAATCGATTACTTATAAGATGCACTTAGGACACCTTTTCCATGAACGAAAAATTTTAAAATACATTTTTTTAAATTTTATTTTACCGGGTCCCATATAAATTGACACTTACTAATAATTTACAATAAGCATGTACTTTTTATATTTATACATTTTTTAGAATAAAAATATGTATAATAAAAAAAGTACAGATTTAATATACAAATTTTAATGCTCGAGCAGACTCGGTGCGTTCGTATTGCATGTATGTGAATCTCCGACATGTGACTTTGAGTAACTCGTCAGAAATAATTGTTTCCGTTTACTATGTACTACCAGTTTATGTAATTAATTTTATAATAATATATTGATAGGAGGAAGTCATACAATGTATTCAAATTTAAAAGTAACGGGCTAGAAATGGTCCTCGGCCCACCTGTTGCTCATCCCTGACTTAGGGTGTAGTAACCCTGTGGTTATTACACGGACTTCCAAATCCTAAGAAAGTGAGTTCTGGCCGATACAAAAATAAATTGTATTTATGTGGCTATATAAATAATATATTCATATCGATATTTTAGTCAATCTCCAGGAATCTTTCGGTATTTCAATTATTAACCTATCTGAGAGTACAGTTGTTAATTATAGAAAACATAGATTTGTATTGTTTCTAGGTTTGAAACTAATAAACTCAAAAAATACTATACCATTTCCAAAAATTCTTTCTTCATTACAATTTTATTTCATCTTCGAGTAACATCGGCTATATATATTGTTAGAAAAACTTGAGATCGCTACTAAAACTTCGATAATGTAGCAAAATGTCTACCCTTACGATGCTGGGACGGGCTTGTAATATAATATACATATAATATTATATCTAATAACTGGATTGGAGAAAGTGAAGCATGATAGTTAAAAAACGGCGTCAACTTCAGAAGACTTGGAGCAAATGTCGCTACGCTAAAACATTTTTCCATTTGTTACCACGTCACAAGAAGACCTCTCGACCTTTTACAAATCATTGTAATTCATATACTATATATTTATATATATGCACGACAGTTTAAACAGTTACATGCATGGTAACTGGTAAGAAAAAATATTTTATTTAACTTCTATCTTTTCTTGTGAAATGAAATATACCTGTATGTAAAATATAAAATGTATGTTGGACTCCATTCTCCGCAATTAGCCTCACATTCGGGCCGTTGTGCGTGTAGAGCCAGACTACTAACGTAGCCAGCCAAACTCCTCCCAAAAGCGCAGAAGACTCCTGGTGTCTTCACAGGCTTCACGGAGCGACCTCACCGTTCTGAGGATTTGTTTTCGTTGTTGGGCCACTGCCGTGCACTCCAGGATTACGTGAGCCGCCGTTTCTTCAGCTTCAAAGCAGCCCCGACAAAGGGGGCTGTCTGTAGCATCAATTTTGTATAAGTGTTTGTTTAAGGAATAATGGCCCTTTATTGTCCCTATCATTATTTTGAGGTTATGTCTATCTAGATTAATTAGTAGACGTGTTGAAAATACCTATATTCATACTAAATGTGCTCGGTGATTCACCCGTGTTAAATTTCATTATAAAATATAGCCTATATGTTATTGAGCATATTATATAAGCTATATATATAGGTTTCACCTGCGATAAAAATATATGTAGCCTATATGTTATTCTGATGCATAAGCTACTATATAATATTACTGTAAAGTTTCATCAAAATCCGTTCAGTAGCTTTTGCGTAAAAAAGTAACAAACATCCATACTTAAAAACTTCCGCGTTTATAATATTACTAGCGGGTTGCTAGCCCCGCCTTCGCACGGGTGCAATGCTGATACTGAATATACCTAATTACCTAAATTTATCAGTGTTTAAGACGAGAAGTGTTTTTTCAAGAGGAAGGTTTATATGTAGAGACATATAAACCTTCCCCTTTAATCACTCTATCTATTTAAAAAAAATCGCTTTAAAATCGTTTTAAATATTTAAGCATAAATTGGAACAGACCGCGACAGTGACTTTGTTTTATGTAATGATTAAAATAAGATTTATATGATAACATGGTAATAATACTATATACTAGCTTAACTAAAATTTGTATTATCTTGTAAAATTAAAAATATATTATTATGTTATAATTTCCTGTTTTGTAGATGTCGATGAGGTCATAGAAGGTAGCGTCACCTTAGCCATGGCTCTGTGGCTCCGATCAGAGATCTTACTCCGTTTGAAGCGACCCCGAGCGGCGCTGGAAGACCTCAAGATGGCATTAAAAGAGCGGTTACCAGCCAAGATGAGGGCGGAGTACTATTGGAGGATGGGCCAGTGTTACAGTGGTTAGTTTATTTAATACTCTTTTTTATTTCGTCATAAATTTGCGACTTTACTCCTGATAGTAAGTAAATAATTAAGGTCTTTGACAAGAGGGGTACCAAGGGAATCACTTGGTAACGTATAATCCATAGTTCTGATCTTATATTTCGTCAACAGTTGCAACTTACCATCAAGATGATCAGAGCTAGAAGAGGTTTAAAATATTGAAATATGTTTGTTTAATTGTGAGATGTAACATACATTAGTAAACGGTGTATTCTATCTGTGATTATATACATATGTAATATATATAGTTAATAAAAATTTAATTTTTTATAGTTACGTATCTTGTTAAATAATAATACACAGCATATGGTAATGTGCGTGTTTTATCCAAGTATAACATTTTATTTAGATAATTAATACAAAATTATGTCAAAATCTTTAACTTTACATATTATTCTAATAAAATAGTAAAATATTTACTTATCCAAATCTGGCTTTATTGTTTGTTTGTTAATTTGTTCCACATAAAAATGGGTGGAGAAAATTGTAATAATATTTTTGTTAAATATGAATCAACATATACTTCTAAAGGAAATTGAGGAAATACCCCACAAGGGGAAGTAATTAAATATAAATTTTCTATACGCCACCTCTCTACTTAGCTAGGTGGCGAATAGAAAATATTCATTTGAAATCCACTAGAAGGGTGCAGGTTAAGCCTCGGGGTACAATTTAAAATAGAAATAGAATTAAAAATAATCTTGATTCAAACGCTCATTCGGAAAGCACTAATTCTTGATAATTCACATTATCAGAAGAACTAGCAAGAAACTTGCGTGTTACTGTTTTAAATAAGTGTTGTTTAGCATTACATATTTAAGATAGTGTGTGAATACAAACTATATAAATAAATATAATAATTGAGTTACAACATTAATAACTAATAATTATTGTCAACTAAAATAACAAAATAAAATCAGTCATAGTTATCACTCTCTACAAGTATTTCATTAATTATATAATAGATGGCGCTGTATAGATGCTATGTATCTTATATACTATTTATTGCACCAGAAGTCAATAATAGAGATTATAAATACAAATAATAATGAAGATATAGCGGTCTTATCCCATAAGCAATCTTTTCATTCTATATCTATTAGTTATCATTGGGTATATCTTCATCAAATGGTCCAAATTAACAAATTTACATCAAGTAGCGAGCAGCACTAACTAAAGTATAATATCACTAGTAAAACAATTAGCTGTGGACGTAATAAATTAGTGCATGAAAAGCCCGAGCCGATAGTGCTAGGATATAACCACAAGCTGAAGTGAAGTTGGGCGGGCGGTAGAGTGGAAAGTTCGTGTGTGGAACGAACGCACGTACAGTGCAGTTTGCAGTCGTGCCATAACTTCTACATCTCACGTCACTAACAATATGCACAGATTTATAGCATTCATCTTTACTTTCTAAATGTTAACGCAATATTTAAATCCTGTGTCATATAATCAAGTGTTAATTTTTAGTTACTTCACCAAGATAAGTATATATATGTACAGAGCCAGTAGGCTCTGTCCGCTCGTTGTTCAGTCCCAACATTTCACTTAACGTCAAATAATTCATTTGTCAAATATAAAGTAGTTATAAAGCCATTGAGTTTGTCAATAAATGTACTTAGTTAATTGTTTAAAGTTGGTTTTAAGTTATTATTGTAGACGATAATAAGCATTGTTTTAAGTTGATTTTTAGTTATTATTGAAGATCAGTGCATTGAAATTTACAAAATTAAAAGATAGTCCTCTAAAAAAGGCAATTTATGAGTGTCATAACGATGACGTCCGTGATGACATGATGTCCGTAGTACTCCTCATGTATATAGGCGGCTGCTACCATTTATTATCTAATGTAAATAGTATTTGTAATATATATAAAGCATATTTATTACAATTACAAAAAATAATGTAATATCAAATCAAATAAAAAAAGTTTTTATTCACATAGGACTTTCCGGCCTCTCATACACTATATAATCTCTTGTATATAGATATAAATATTTAAAACAGATTATTTACAAGTTACGTTTATCATTGTCTCAAAATATGTCTCTCATAATTCCTATAAAAGAAATAATGCTTTATATAAAATGTTGTGCTTGTTGATAAACAAATTATAATATTAATTGACATTTAGCTTCCTTTATTAAAAAACAAAGTAAACAGTCACTTTCTGTTTACTAGCCGAATTCAGTTGAAACGATATCAATTACTCTACCAAATTTCATTAAAATTGGTTCAATAGTTTTGTCGTGAAAGCGAGACAGACAGACAGAGTTACTTTCGCATTTATAATATTAGTAAGGATAGTGGGCAAAACCGCGGCGCGTAGTTACTTCTTTTCAATATGAAAGAGGTTGTTCTATCTCTTTCGAAAACGGTAAGCGTATTAAAAAAATCGACTTAACTTAATCTGACTTATTCTTGCCACGATAAATAATAAAGTCCATACACCCATACCTCTAACTACGCCATATCGGGTATATCTTTCATTAATTATATTACTATAAGTTTTCTTCTTCGTATTATATTATTAAACAAGTGTAATTTTATTATTCTGTACTAATGTACTAATATGTATTACGATTAGAAAAGTTTTGATTGTTTGCATTAAATGGGCTCCGAATTTACTGGAACGATTTTAAAAATACAAACAAAAAATGGGGAGTGCAAATTTATTGTTTTTAGTATTAATATATAAATATAGTATACCCAATATAATATACGTATGGAGTAGAAGACAATGTTTGTAACGGATCGGTGGACTGTATGGGTGTCTAAATTATGAAAACACGTAGTTTGTAATAATATAATATATTAATATGTGCAATTGCGAACTATACGAAAGACAATGATAGAATAATAAAATAAATTGAAATATATCAAATAACATGACATATAAAAAAGAACTCTTCAAAAATATAAATTTAAAAATAATAAAAATATCAAAAGAGTCCAGATGAAGATGTCCAGACATGTAGCGGCGTGGTAGGCCGGGTCATTGGGCTCCCTAAAATATGGTCGACCGCAGTGATGGCTGGCTCATCCGTCATACACGTGAACGAGTGCTGCTTGTAGGGACTGGTCTGCTCTTATCACAACGACTGATTTGATCTTATTGTGTTTTTATATTTGAACCTAAATAAATTAGTGCTGGTTGGTAGTTTGTATTCACACGTTTGAATTGTAAAATGTGAACTTACAAGTATAACTTAAAAGAGCAACACACAAGTTTCTTGCTTATTCGTTTTTATGAGACAGATTTCTAAAGAAGCGGTAGATTTAAAAAAAAATTTTTTGACTTTTCAAAAGTGCTTAATATAGGTTTATTTGTATAAATGATTTTCTATTCTATATTATCTCTAAAATGACTCGACCGATTTAAACGGGACTTTTTTTGGCAGGTAGCTGATGTAATAAGGAGTAACCTAGGCTACTTTTATTTTAGAAAATAAAGTTTAATACCACGCGGACGAAGTCGCGGGTACAGCCAGTATTATATATACATTATATTATATAATGGATACAACAGTGAAGTGTAGTAGAAGGTAGTAAAATAATTAAACTGCACTTTGATATCTGACTTTCTCTAGAAAATGATAAGATATTATTACGCTGGAAAAATATCTTTCATGTCGGAGATGCTTTCACTAATAACATTTCAGTATTGCTTTCAACAATGCAATTAATTAGTTGCAATAATGTTACATTTATTTGTTACTATAATACATAATACAGAGTTTTCTTTCAAGTAACACAGCGTCTTATTCTAAGCTAAGCAAAGCTTGTGTAAGATTACGATATTGACCCATATTTTAAGATATGTACCTTTTATATGTATAAATGCATAATGTATTTTTTTCTATATACATTACGTATATATTTGCAAAATCATACTGACGAATACAAATGTTGTGAGGAATCGAACTCGCCTCCATCGGAAGTAAGGCCGCGTGCCAAACCGCTAAACCACGGAGGTACCGCACAAAAAATTTAGTACTCTTACCACGTAAAAACTTAAAATAAACACAATTTAGATAAAGTAAATACATATACTACAAACAATTTTATAAAATAAATATATGTGTATTTTCCTTAGCTATAACATATTATGTTGCAATGCATTGGATATTTTTTTTTTATCGAAGTAGATTCTATACAAAATCGTATCCGTGGTACATTTATTACACGTATTTATTCCATCGTGCAAAGCTTGCTTTGTAAACTGTTTTTTTTTATATATTAGATATGGATTTATTAGATATGGCAGTACAATTACAGGACATGGAGTTATGACAGCATCAGTAGTGTTAACACGGGCGTCAGTCGTGCTCTTGGTGTAATATCCATGATTCATGACAGTTCATAATTGCTGTTTTTGACAAGCGAGAACGTAGACCTTGAGCTTGTGTTCAATACAGTAAAAAAAAGTTTAAAGTTTTCTTTTAAAACCAACATTTGTAGGCATATAATAATGTATAGAACAACAGAACATCCCTTATAATGAACGTAATAACGTCATTAGTAAAAATTTAACGTTTCGACGAAAGTTGACGAAAATATTGCTAATTAATTTGATGAGAAAAATTTTACGGCTAAATTAACAACAGATTATGTTGTGCTTCAATTAGTGTTAGCTGTTGGCTGTACATCACAACTAATTAAGGACCTCAACTTAATTGAAGGCTTTCCACTCAGTAAGATACGAGAATAGCCCCTCTAAATCAATTACTAAAAGACTACTCGACGCGTCCCCTATATCTCTGAAATGAAAGAAAAATCCGCTAATTACGAATCTTACTCGCATACTAAGGGTTCCGAATAAATAATATATTATTTATCTAAATGTTACATACACGAACCGCACTAATTAGTGCTGATATCAGTATATCATGTTATCATATACCACCTGTAATATTATATTACCAAAATACCTACGGATACAGGAGAAAAGAAGACTATTTTTATTACGATTAATGGATTAATTATAATTTATTTTGACGTAAATACGATTAAGTTATATTTTTCAATACTAAATATGGAATTATTTCTACTTTTCACTTGAAATATTGCATACCAGAGACTTTTAGTTTTACTGGCCTCCGTAACGTTTGGTAACATTTTACCATAAGATGTTATACAATTTATATACTCTTTAGATATAAATACTTTATTGAAGCTTACACTTTAAGCGATAAGTGTCAGTAATAATAAGGCACTCTTTATACTATTCAGCATTACCATCCCAGAGGACGAGGAAGGAAGATGTCATACCTCTTATCCTGTAACTATACTAACATAATATGACCCTACAGACGAAACACTGCGAAATGCTTGACGCTTGAAATATGTTACACTGAGGTAACACATACAGCCGGGGGGAAGGGGATTATTAGTAATGGGAACTAGTAATCCCCATTGCTAGCAATGTACCATGTCAGATTGACCTCCACGCGGTTCCCCCTGGAAACCATCGTGTTAAATTCCTGATTAATTTGTCACGATGGGCTAGCTGACCTGACCTCATGGTCATCTTATCACCCTCCACTGGTGCCCCGCCAGCATAAACCGTTGGCGCAGGCGGGTGCACCATTCGATTATCATCCACAAAAAAAAAAACTCATACAGACGACTTTCTGTAATCTACCTCGGCTAAATTTTAATATTTTATTTACATGTAAACTTATTTTTTAATTTTATTTCTTTTTTATGTATGACTTCTATTATGTAATTTTACAGGTGCAGGAGAACCGACTAGAGCAAAGGTATCCTACGAACTGGCGGCCAGGTTACTGGGCACCAATCGAGAAGCCCAGGAAAAACTGAAGAAAGATATTGAGGCACTTGACTATACAGTATTGGCCAAGGATCCTCCTGATAAACCTGGTACTGATTATGCTAAACTAAATTCTTCTTTTTAATAAAGATATATGTAATGTGCGATTTATAATAACAACAAACTGAAAATAAAGTACAGATACTTGAAACAAGATGGAACATAGGTATATACTATAGATCTTTATAAAATCAAAATAGGGTTAATTTCATTTAATAGAAATGTGCATACGGCATAAGTTTCTTAAAGGATATTGCTACAATTATTTGTCTATTCGTCAGACTGTGTATTTCTTCAGCCACGAGTTATGCAACAGCTCCTACATGAAACTGACCGCATTTATTACCTTTGTTGTAATAGTGATGTAACTTAAAATATAGACTCTATTGTATCGTAGGAAAATATGCATGTATGTTATTCCGCAGGAAGCAAACGCGCCAGAGAGTTGTATACAAATTAAATAAATAATACAAAAATTTAAGTTTATTGTTCTCATTCTTAATAAAAAAACAAAACATTTATATTACAAAAAAATATTTATTTAGTTTATTATTATGCCGCTCGTTGTCTCAGTCTAAATACTTTAATACTAAATTTCAAATGAGTATCTATCGTACCGATCCAACTGTTCGTTTAGCCTCTTTTTTATTTTATTGTGTTTAATTTCTTTATAGACATAAAACTCACAGGAGGGCCTAAGCAGAATATGCCATCATTGTCAAAGTTGGTGAAAATTGTCGAAGAGGAAAATAAGGTAAGTAGTAAAGAAAATTATTATCTGACTCACTTTCAAAATACATTTCTTAATATAAATTGACATGGTATAAAGATCATGCTTGATTTACATATAAAACCAGTTCCGATCGATCGATATTTAAATTGTGACGTTTTGTATATTATTTACATTTAGAAATACTTATTACGACAACAGTTTGAAAAGTAAATTATTGCCAGGTTACATACATCCTGTCATATTAACTTTACATAATATAAAGTCAAATCAGCAATAGATATAGTGATTCAAGAGTAAGTTTTATGCGTATTATATATGCGTGTTATAGTATAGAACAAGCCAAGGAAATTTAAAGATTTGTAATGTATCCGTGCGAAACGGGGATTAGTCGCTAGTGTTAATATAAATAAAATGACAAAGTTATGATCACCTAAATCAAGTCGACGCAGGTTAAACGACCACAAGGTCTTATATAATGTAAAAAGCATCTATTTTCAATCTTTTTAAAAATTAAACGGAGCTACGATACATAATCGATCTGCATATATTACATATTTTGTTAAATTTCCTTGCTTTGTAATGTCTATATTTTCCGGTGACCTCGTTACACGATCCAGCAGTTTATGAGTACAATGAAAGGATCATAGTCTTAGGCTTGTCTTTTATCTTAATTTTCCATATTTTATAAATTCAATTTAGTCGCCAAAGTTTCGGTAAGTTATTATAAGTTTTAAATGTCTCAAGTTGTATTGTTTATTTATTCAGAAGTTCTGATAAATTTATTACTTACGTTTGTAAATTTATTTCGTATTTTGCCTTCATGCGAATTTCACCAAATACCTACGGATACGGGAGAAAATGAGACTATTTTTTTATTACGTTTAATAAATTAATGCTTATTTATTTAGACGTGAACAGGGTTAATTCATATTTTATATTATACTACCTACTCGCACGGACTTCGCACGGGTGTACATGTATTATGTATATAAACCTTCCTCTTGAATCACTCTATCTATTAATACTGCCTCAAAATCCATTGCGTAGTTTTAACGAATTAAGAATACACAGGGACAGACAACGAGAGCAACTTTGTTTTATACTATGTAATGATAATAATATGGTGAAGAAGTACTTTTTCACTTGAAACAATGTTCCAGTGGCACCTTTAGTGTTACAGGCCTCCATAGGCTTTGTTAACAGTTTTCCATCAGATGTTATGCAAATTAACCACTGTTGAAATATAAAAATCAACCTTATTGAACTACATGTCTGACGATATTGAAGCGATAAATATCATCAATATACTGTAATTTTACTGCATAATCTGACCCTACAAACGAAACACCACTTGCAAAGCAAGACTCTATTCGATTCAAAACGTTAGCCTAAGATAAACACGCATACGACTTTTAATAGTCTACGTTTGGTAAATTGTAATACTCTATTTAATTGTGATCTTATTTGTTAATTTTAAGCAATCTACTTCTCAAGTAATTGACGTATGTATTACGAAATTATGCTTGTATTATATGCTTAAGCTTTGTTTCTCATACTTGCAAGTTATGACATCATTATATGTATTGTAGGGCCGGTTCGCAGTGGCCAACGACTGTATCAAAGCGGGCGATATACTTTTGGTGGATAGCCCTTACGCAGCCTGTTTGCTAGCCGACTATTATGGTACTCACTGCTTACACTGTTTTAAGAGGTTTGTTTAATATCATTTTTTGCAGCTATAATTGAATGAGATTGAAATGGATTCACTTATTTTAAGGAATTATAAAATTGAATGGCCATAGAATTTCTAAGCAGAGCTTATTAGCGTTATAGTTACTAGACAACTGATATACATATATAAATATTTTTTTCTAGAATATGTACATATATAGATAACATCCGAGAACAATATGAACAATCATACGCACAGCCGAGTCAGAAGTACAGCCGTGTGCTAAATCGCTAAACTACCCAGAACCTCATTTCGATGAAAATTTTATTAGTTATTAATTATTATGCATGAGTTAACATATAGGCAAAAGTGAAACAATCTCCCTCAGCAAGCCCTAATACTTGCTGAGGTCGTAGTAAATATAATCAACTTGATATTTCAGAATAGAAAACTGTGAAGATACAGCTCCTGTGTGGTGTACAAAATGTTCTGGAGTAGTTTTTTGCAGTGTCCAGTGTAGGGACACTGCCGTTTCTACATATCACATGTACGAGTGCCAATTCCTCGATCTTTTTATAGGTGACTTTTATTTTGATATATAATAATAATAAAACTTTCTCCCTGAGTTCAATTTACTAATGGATTACAAATCTTATTAAAGAAATAGTTATGGTTGGCCTTTTAATAATACTTACTAAGGAAAGCCAACATAATAATGAAAATGGATTTCCTAGTCTAAACGACTAGGAAATCCATTGTACAAGAATTTTAATTTAATGGTAAACACATACAAACAGATTATTAATGTTAACAGATTGACTTTAAAGAGTCTTCTCTAGACATTAACTTGAAAACTGCCAAGATACACATTTGTTCTTACAAATGAGTATATTGGCGGTTTCCAAGTCCACTCTCAGTCTCATCTGATATTGATACTGTAGACTGAACTGTACGACTATGATAGGGATGAACAATACTATAATAAAATTATTTGTATAAGTTGATGGAGTATATGCAACGTTGTTAGATGTTGTGTTTTAAATTATGTATCAAATTGTAATATAATTTCCTTAATTTTTAAATTGTAAATTGTAATTTAAGGTAATCATATTCATTATTTTATTTACTTTCTTTATAATAGAAAAGTGTTAGTAAATAGAGAAGTGTTACCTAATTAGCAGCACTGTATTTGTAATATGAATATCTTGTGTGCAGAATTAATATTTCAATATCTAACTAACACGAATACTATGTATTTCGCTGGCAATCTAAGTGATAATGCTACTTTCTTATCAAATCCTATATACACATATACTTTTTCAGGCTCTGGAATGTCAGTGCTAAGCCATATAGCTCTAAGAATGGTAACACAAACTGGACTAGATACCTGTATGTCAATACATTCTAAATATCTATCAAATCAAGTGAAAACAGTAGAAGGATCAGTTCTTAATGACATAGAAGGAGTAGCAAAGAAATCTAGAATTAAAACTAGGAAAGAAAGGTTAAATAGATCTAAAAGAGGTCTTAAAAGTTTCACTGAAAAAAATAAAGAGGAAGTTGAAGACAAGATAGAAGATAAAATGAACTTAGAAGAGAAAATGGAATTGAAAGCTGCACAAATATACTCGCTGTGTACCCATTCAGAACAGAGGAAAGGAGAGGATTACCTCAAAAGAGCAATCATGGCGATGTTTCTGACTGAATGTCTAAAGAAAGCTGGATTTGTTAAGAAACAGGCGTCCTATGATTTAGCTAAAGGTAATGAATATAGTAGTTCATTTAAAAATCGTATTCATAATATTTCGGATTTAATGTAACACGAAGCTAACCTAAAATATTAGTATAAATTACATTAATAAATTGTATATAATTATATTTATTTTGATGTTGATATTTCCTTTGAATTTTCTCTCGAGCGATTTAATAAGTTGTTAATATCCTGCTATAAAAGTTAGCAAAACTAACTCTTGAAGTCTAATAAGATCCCTGTGATGGAAATGCTTGGAAACACTTTATATTCTTACTCAGTCACCACACTGAATAATATAGTATGCGGCTACTTTTACAGCATATAGTCTAGTAGTATAATACCCAGACAAAAATCCCTAGGTTCAGACCTGACTGTCACCAAAACTTATACAATTTTTATTTTTTACCCGGAGATGGAAAATCTTACAAAAAAATCAAGAAGTGACGGTAAATTCGTTTCCTTCGAAGCTGGATTCAAATATTAAGTCTAAAATAGCATATTAAGTAATATGTTGTCCACGACGAGGATAGTTAAAAAGCCTCTACATGGATATATTAATATGAACACATTACTATTAGTCTGACATACGCGTATTATGCAAAATGGAATCCTTTATTTCATCATGTACACCATTTATTATATCTATGCGTAGCTTTTGTATTTGGTCAAATTTAAATGTAGTAGTAAAATTCAGCTCTATTATACGGTATTTCATAATTCCAGTGGAGAATTCAATATGCGAGTTGATAATTCGGAACCTGCAACTGCTGCAATTCAATGCCCACGAGATCTTTGAGACACTCCGCGGGGAGCACATGTTCACTGGCTCCAAACCGGTGTATCTAGCTGTTGGCATATATCCCACTGGAGCATTGTTCAATCACGAATGTTATCCGGCTGTTGCTAGGTAAAAATGACATATGTGTACATATAATAAAAGAATTATTTAACCTTGTTTTTAACCTTCTTGTTAAAAACAAGAAAAAAGAAATAATAATAATAATAATCAATACCCCAGATTCATTCACACAGCGATACCGTGTATATTCTACTGATTTTCCTAATAGTACGAGTATTGCTATTATTATAAAGATATTTGTTTATTTTTTAACGGATAATAAAATTTATTACATTTTTTTTACATACTGCTCAATATATGAAGTATTTAAGTAAAAAAAAGAACATACTATTTTTTTATGCAAAGATGGGGACGTTACTGAACTGAGCGCTGAGCGCGTAAAATAGAGCCTATACTCGTATTAGCAAACCAAACCCTATGAAACGCTGAAAATCACAGTTCCAGACGTATTTTGGGACGCCACTGAGATGCACAAACAAGGATGATATATTGCATTTTATCGCTAATTTAAATCGTCTACGACAGGTACTTCGATGGTAAAAACATTGTCCTGCGAGCTACCCGACCGCTGAGCCCTGGTGAAGTGGTATCAGAAAATTATGGCCCTCACTTCCTAATGCGTGGACTCAAAGAACGGCAGCGGGCACTAACATGCCGGTATTGGTTCCGCTGTGAATGTGCAGCGTGTAAAGAAGACTGGCCTACTCTTAAACAGCTGAGTGACGCCCCGCCTAGCCTCAGGTACGTATTATTTTTTTATTTACCTAAATGGCAATCAAATTGGTGGCTCATTTGAAGGGAACTGGCAACCTTCACCTGTATATGAATTATCGGTAAACTAGTCTTCAAGGTACCTCTGATACGTTGACATTCAATAGCCCCGTATTTTCACTTTAAAATCAAAATACATATTACATATCAAGCCGCTAAAGGTAAAACTTTAAGAAATGTAAGATTATGAATTTCCTATTCTACAATAATTTCGAGTTTTTAATTTAAATTAAGAAGTTGTTAGTATTAATTACACTATGCCGCTCTCTACTCCAGATGGAGAAGAGATTAACAGTCGTAAGCATTTATAAGACAATTGTTACTAAAGGTCTCCCAATGATTTCTTCAATTAAATTACATACTACTAGGGTTGCCAACTTTTTTTGACAAAAAAAAACATAACTGGTACGGATAGGAAAAAAGTATTAGGAATAACAAATATTTATCTAATTTAAATAAAAATATTTTTATTGCTTTAAAAACATATTTTATGTGCATTTATATTACATTCCGAAATGATATCTAACATTTCGTTCAGTAATTATAAATCGTTAGGTACCTATAGTGAGTATTTTGTTTTACGCAATATAATTGCATACATATTTTGTATATGAAATTATATAACATGAATACCAAAAATAAAATAGGATACATTATTATAAAGTATGGTTGACAATCCTACATACTACATATAAATCGCAATTCTGTTTACATTGAATTATTAATATTATTACAATTTGCATAATATTTTATGGGCGGCATCAATCCGCTTTTCCAATAGCTGTTGAAATTGCAGTAAATTTAGGTATAGAGTTTATAAACGAAACTAGAGAGCTGTATTTTAGTGTAAACTACATATGTACTCTCCCAGGCAGCCCACAATTTCAAATTTCCAATTCCGTTAGTTGAGACTGTGCGTTTGATATCTGTCAGTCGGGCGGAACCAATCTGTTTACACAGGTTTATACCTGTGTCGACATTTCCATTACGTTATTGGCAGCTTCCACTGCACCGATCTCGTTTCTAAAATAAATATTACTCACATCCATATTTTGTATTTACATCAATTTTCAACTATTGCAACGAATAGTGTATTTGTAATAATTCTTTCTCGTCAATATTTTTTTACGTAAAATAACATGCAATCAGCAATAGTAAACAATTCTGTTCGGAACTATTTGCCGCCACATGATGATACAGTAAGCCTACATTCTGACGTACCTCCATTGATGGAAACATCTAATGAACCAATTTAATCCAAAAGATAGCGGTAGGCTCACCTCTATTTTCAATATACCTAGCTAAGTGTATTTCTAACTACCTATAATAGACTAAGTATCTGTAATAACAGAAGTGAAGCATTTTTAAAATTATCATTATCCTGATTGTAATATATGTATTTTTAAATTACGTCAGATGTCACAACTTGGATTGTACGGGCAAGTTTCGACCCCTCCCACAGTGCATGCCCGACACTTGTATCAAGTGTTCTACGCCAATCGACAAAGAACTTGTGGATATTAACTTGGATAATGTGAAAAGGTGCTGCGAACGATATAAGGTAATACCAGTGCACATGACGTTGCTCTGCTGTACAAAATAATCATACTTCAATATCCGGCTCGAAGGACTTTTGGTCCTTTACACCGGATATTAAACCGTGTGTTTGAACATATATGTCGTAGTTTCAATCGTAGTAATGTCGGCACTACCAGACGTCGACGCGTGATACGAGGTGGTATACCCCGCGGGGTGGCGTCGTCTCCAGACTGGCTGGTTGTACCCTAACAGGAAGCTGTGAATATTTCCTAAAAAAAGACGATCGATTTTTAGATGCTTTCTTTATTGACATTTTATCTTTGGGAACTTATTTATTTGATGACATTATGTTTAAGTTAAATACTAATATCATAAATGCAAAATGTCTCTGTCTAAATGTGGTCTGTCTATATCTTACTTTTCAAAATTAAACGCCTGAACTAGCTTTAATGAGCATTTCAAAAAAAAACCAGACGCAATATTTACACCTATACTATATTATATTGAATCTCAAACATTTCTTCGTCTTCAAAACAAATTTCATTAAAATACCTTCTATCGTTTACTTATGAAAGATAACAGACAGATACACTGTCGCATAATATTAGTACCGATTATAAAATTCACATCCATAACAAAGAAACCAACGTTTCGGGTATTTTACTAAAACGGCTGTTTGTTTTTGAATAAACAACCTTTTTAGTAAAATGCAAGACGAAATAAGTAAAACATGTCATACAAGCCCTCTCCTATAACATTTCTCATTATGCAACCGGAAAATGTTTCATTTCGCTACACGTGCATCCACGGTAATCATACTCGTACGTAGTCTACCTGTAGCGAGATTTAAGATCACATTGAGGCATATTCCGATACATTCATTCGATATAGATAGTTGCAATTCTGTAAACTTCAAATCTTCGGCTATAGAAAATTAAAAATAATTCAGCGATATCAGGACACCAAGACACATATGAAAAACTAATCTTAATTTATTAAGTAAAAAATTTATCCCCTTTTTACGAAATTTCTGCAGACGAACGAAACGTCTTTGCATAAAGTCTAATCTTTTTCTTTGTAACTGAATATACATAACTTTACTTTTCAGGAGGGTACCAAACTTATGAACGCAGAACGCCTCGATGATGCTCTCACAGTAATGTGTGATGCAATAAATACGTACCATGAAGTTGCGCGCGCGCCACACAAGGAAACCCAACTAGCTCAGGAGTCGCTCAGAACATGCTTTGCATTTTACGGTAATGTACATAAAGTACAAAGTGGAACTAGCGATGAACTAACTAAGAAGGTAGCAGAGACCAAGATTACTTAGAATACCTCTCAGTGTAACACTGTTGTTGAGTTTGTTGAATTAAATAAAAATACTATATTCAATGACTGTACATTTAATTTTATTAAGCAATTTAGATAAATAAAAAAAGAAAATATACCAGTACTAGGACTGATTAAATTAGTAGAAATTATTTAACTTGATCCTTTCGCTAAAGCTACCATATTAAGCAAATCAAAGGCAAAAACTCCAACTCTGTCGATCTTCATCACTATAACTACTAATATCGAAGCAATATTGAATATAAACAACGCACTCGTAACTTTAAACTGCATTATAATATCACATCAAAATGTAATCACAAGATCACATGCTGAGTATAAAACATTACAAGAGTCCAAACGTAAAGCTGATTCTGAAATATTTGATGTTAATGTAATAAATCATAATCACCACGACCTAACTGCCAATATTAACTAGTAGAAGGTTGATATATAATTATAGTATAAGTAAAGTAAAATATAAACGTGTTATTATAAAATCTAGGGTTCACACTGATTGAATCAATCATCATCGAAAAAAGTCTTGCAAGCGCATTCCTGTGGGTCAGTATCGCCATCACCCTCGCCGGTGCTGGATACTGTCCGTCTTAAAGACTGGACCTGCGTCTGAAGACCAAAGACACGCAGCTGCGCCTGCTCAAAGTTCTCATTGAGTCGTTGTATCTGGCACTGCATGCGACATTGAATCTAGAACAATTGTTAATGAGGTTTTCATATGAAACACTTGACATTCTCACACATGGTTCCTTATATATAAATGCAACATAACAGCAATCTCTCCCGGATTATGGTAATTGAACGACCATTGAAAAACTAAAAATTGACTTTATAACAATAATATCCGTCAAAATTGTAAATTTATACACAGTTTATTTTTTTCGGCCAGTTTTGAACTTACGATCTTGATAGATTCAAACTTAGAGCATAACGATCTAACTCCAGATGTACTATATTATATAGGTACTAATTACAATTAAATACAAAAAGACAATTCTTGCTAAACTAAATTGTACACTTGCTTATTCCTTCACAAATAAAATATTAAATAAATTAAACCAAATACGAATTATTGGGCTAACTTGACATTATCTGTAATAGTTTTCCTCAATTAAACAAAGTTACAAAACACCCACATAGTTTAAAATAAATTTGTAGGATTTCATTTCTATTAAAATTGTTAGGTTAGGTTTAACTGTCCGTCTAATTATTTAAATAGCGCTAACAACTGTAACATATTAGGAATGTATTAATTAGTAACCGTAATTTATAATTAAACTGACCCATTTTTGTTTGTATTCCGAACAGAATTAATTAAAATAATTACAAATATTTGCATGCCGGTGTTAGGCAACAAGCAAATATTTGAGAGAGAGATGTCTGTTTACACTTGAAGGTAATATAATTAATGATGAACCTGCATTCATTGTATGTAGTAAGAAACTGGTTTTCGAGATACAGGTTTCCCCCATTTAGATTGCAAGATCTAAATGTATAACATACAGACGTGTATGTTAAAAAATAATTTCACTATTGTGAATAAATATTTATTATGCAAGTATCATTACTTGAATAATAAATATTCACAATAGATAAGAATCATTTCTTAACGAGTAATTTCATTGCACAATATGCACTCTACTGCTGATACGCAATTTAAAAAGCAAGCTGGTTATCAGCTGAAATAAATGAAGTTTTTCGATTTTTTATAGTTTACTCTAAATGTTGCCATTCCAGAGGTTTGTTGTGTAATTTCATTGTCTAATCTATACTCTGCAATCGACACACAGCTTCAAAAGCAATCTGTTTAGCGACAGAAATAGCTTAGGTTGACTTACCCATCGGCTCTTTCTACAGTTTACCTCTGTTTATTCATGGTTGTCAACAACTTATTTGCCATTCCATATACATAAAAAAGGGATACTTTTTTTAATTTAAATAAGCGAAATAATCTTTGGGGGAGGCCTATGTCCAGCAGTGGACGTCTTCCGGGCTGCGATGATGATGATGATGAAGCGAAATAATCTTACTTCTTCACGCTCTTTCTCTGCAATTTTTACTTGAGCCCGACTGACAGCGAGTTGTCGTTCTAATTCTGCTATAGTTGTTTGCATACATCTGAAACAAAATATAAATGTGAATATAACTATAATATATATTTAAATAACAAATATCTGTATTTTAATTATATTAATTACATATATTTAAGGAGTCATTTTTAAATTACTTCAATAAGAACCTAATATCTTTTGTAGGTGACCCAATTTTTATGATTATTTGTATCTATGAAAGCAGATGTTCTTCATGTGATCTTATTAACAATGACCTAGATCAGACTGTATTATTATCACATTTCAAAATTGGCGAATAAATTCGGGAATAAACCAAAATAACCAGAGTAATAGCAATATTTTATTGAAACAAAAATATAATTTTAGTTTTTGCGTAAAAGCGTAACAAATATCCATCCGTACAAACTCATAAACTTTAAAATATTATTAAAAATTATTTAATAATATTACTTAATACTATTAATAAAATTATTATTAATAGTATTAAGTATTATTCTAATAAAGTTAAGTTTTAATAAATACTCTATAAAATAGTTTTTTTTTAATTCTACACCATATTCGTATTCAGGAGTCAATAAGAATGCAAGTAAACTGGCTTGTGCTCTTTTCAAACAAATGTTCTACAACTTTACACGTTTGTGATTCTGTTTGAATACAAACTACCATATAGAACGAAGTCAATCGACATACTAGGTGTTTGCCGTGACTTCGTCTGTGTTTGAGACAATATTATGGCCTATATCCGTGATAGAATCTGTATTCACGTGTATCTGTAATCTGTATTCACAGATTTCATTAAGATCAGCCGATCAACTATTTAATCATAAAAGTCTATTCGGAATAAATTAAGTAGAATGTTATTTTAATAACACCCTAAATATTATATATTACATTTATAATCACATTAAAATTTAACAATTTAGACCTAATAAAACCTAAATTCAGTACTAAAACAACAATATATTCAAATGAAATTAATGTAAAATACAATTCGAAGATATATCTAAATTAAACACGACCAAAATAACATTGGAATTCATTAAATGAATATTAGGATATTATAACACTTCACAAATAAATGCATGCAATATTCCCAATTTAATTAATTCTGCAGCACACAAACAATTCATTAGCATTAATTATTAATATGGGTATTTGAGCAGCTTACTACTTCACACCTCGCCACAGGTAATGTTACCAATGACAATTAATGAATCTATAGCTCAGCGTCGCACCAAATTTCGAATTGCAAATGAGAACGGACCAATGCCAAGCAAGAATTCGATTCGATCAAGTATTTGAAAACGGTATTTGATTCGGACTTGATTATTGTCAAGTATTTATTAAGCAAAGACGACTTGGGAAATGGCAAAGTTATTATTGGAAAAATTCAGTTAATACACCTGAATATTTTCAAACTGAAATTTAAATCTGTCAATAAATTAATGTCGAAATTCCAACTCTGCAGTCATGGGGAAAAAATATTAGGTATTCATATTCCAATATAACTTATTTACTTTACTAAATAAATAAATTTTAATGTCACATTTCTCTTCAGATTTGAATCGAAAATTTTATTGATGTTTTATGGTTTATAAATGGACAGAAAATATTTATTTGGTGTTCAAATTAAATGAATAACATGAAAAACCTGCGATTTCTTTTGCTATAAAATATAGTCGTATAACATCATTAATATATCGGACAGGTTTTTTGAACTATTAATCTACACATCAAATTTCACTGTTACTTTTAGCCGTTGAGTACTTAAAAAATAACAAAGAAACTAACAGACAGATGCTCTTCAAAATTTGTAATGTACATATTTAAACATGCTATGGTGTATTATTTATTATATATTATTATTTCTGTATACAGAAATCGAAATCTTACTTCAACGTAAATCTTCAAGTAGCCCCAACCTAGAAATGCTAAAGAGTAGAAAAAGTAAATACATACTTGCGCATGGTATCAGTACGTTCGTTGGACCTTTGCAGTGCTCTCGATGCTTCATCCCTGGCGCGGTCCAGTTCTCCTCCAAGTTGAGCACACTCATGCATCTTCTCCTGCAGTCGCTTTTCATTCGCCAACACTGATTCTTCCATACGTATTACGTTGGATCTGCAAAATAATAGATATGAATAGCTTTAATCAGCTTTATACATTATTTAATAATATTTCAGAATAATTCACAAAACGGTATTTAGTCTCAAGCTATGCAGAGCTTGTCTTACAAGTGATATCTATATACATATTTTTTAGTAAATACATAAAAAGGACTACATTATTTGTAAAATCACAATGCAATTTAGATCCAACTAAAATTTGAAAATACATTTTATTGCTTCTCAGAAATCTATACAATCATAACGTCCTTAATCTTGTTTATTTTTAATTATGGTAAATTAAGTTTAATTATATGTACATTTTATTTGCTCTTTTTTCCTTTGTTGTTTATATTATATTTTATATTGTATTTTTTACATTGCACTGAATAAAATATTTTTCTTTCTTTCTAATCTTACACCATTTTACAGTGTTAGCTTACCCTTGAGTGTTAAGTCAATTGTATGCTTTACATTCCTCTTCTTATTAAACATAAAATAATTTTGTAAAATTACTCACTTAAGCCTTTCTATCTCACTCTTGAGTGTTATATTTGTTTCTGTCAATTGAGAAATCCTTTGCTGTAACAATGCTAACTGCTTTTCATCGCCTGTTCTCTCCGGTGGCTTCTCTGGAGGTTTCATACTATTATGAAGCAGAACATGGACCTAAAATGGTGTCAATTAGATATATCATAGTATGTCTATTATTAATAATAAAAATATAACTGTATTACAGTTGGATATAATATCAAAAATATTGCGATTAGGAATCGTACGATACTTCGTACGATTCGTAATCGCGATAGTCACCACAAGAATCGATAATAATGTCAACCTTCAAAATAAGAAAATTAAATATTATACAAAAATAATAGAATTAACAATATCAATTTATTAACAGCTAATAATTAACTACGGATTGAAAAAAAAATTTGTATGAATAATAATAGAAATTTCTTGTCCATTACTGGAATGGAATGGAATTTCTATCTAAATTCAAAATGCACTTGACCTTTTCCCTTGCACAATTTAGTTCTCTAGCCAACTGCTCAGCATTATGCTCGGCGATAGCCTGGGCCTGTTGAGCGTCTTTTAATCTCAATTGTGTAGCTTTAAGAAGGTCTGGAATTGGCGCCAACTCCTGTAGTTTCTCTTGGAACTTCAACTGTAAAAACCAAATAAAGTGTATTATATATATTTCGATTTAAGATAAAAATATAGACAATAAATATCATCGGAATTTATGCCAGAGCCAAAACTATAAACCAAATTTAATTTCGTTCCACTGACTTACTTTGACTCGTTGTATTTCCAGATTTATTTGTTCGCTTATACGTGTATTGTCCATGTCCATCATATCCATTTGACGACGTTGTTCTTCTACCAGCTGTTGTGCTTGCATGTACTAAAAGAATTTTCATAAAGCTAAATTTATTTCTTTATGATAATTTGTCACTATATTTCATACATCATGTACTAATTATAAATTATACTGTAGCTTAGGCAGAATATTTTCCTCTGCCAGTCATCTCCATTTGCCCTCATCTAAATATGTATTTATTTTAATAGAACAAACCTTGATCCTATAATCCTGTAGTTGTTCATTCTGTTCTTTCATTAAAATCCTCAACTCCTCGATTTCTTCTTTTGCCTCCCTGTAGCACTGCTTCAATGACCTCACATTGACCTCTTGCTCAAATGCCTGTTCCTTTGTCCCCATTAACATATTTGTATGTGTAGCCAGGCCTTCGAACTTCATTTCTAATTCCCTTAATTTATTCTGAGCCTCGCGATGTTGACAGCGTTCTTTCTCCAATTCTTCTTTCTTCCTTAACAGGTCGGCTCGTAGCATTGCACACTATGTTATATAATCTTTTTGGATTTACTTGTATAAAAGATATGCTACTACTTATTTATAATAACCTAAAATTCATTAAGCTATTTACAGTAAATAAGTTGACACCCCAGCTAATGCAAAGTGGCTTCTACTACTGCCAGATTCTATAAACATGAACAGCACTATGGATATCCCATAATTGTGGCACCAGTAGTAACTCTCATTCGTTGTTTTTCTCAAGAACTACCTCAACTGTGTCATGCCTCCAAAACCTCCAATGAAAAAAAAGCCTTCAAAGCAAGCTGCTTATTACCAATAATAAAAAGAAACGAAGACCAGTAAAAAAACAGCATCTTATTTTAATTTCAATGTTTTAGTTTTTATAAACAAGATTAATATTAATAATTAACATGGTTCTATAAAAGTTCAACAGATTACCTCCGTAACTTTAGTTTTGAAGTCCTCCTCCGTCTGACGCAGCTGAATCGTTAACTTTTGCACTTCTTTTTCCGCTGGTGTCTATAAAATATTTATTACCCTCCATATATTCCAGCATGATCAGTTGTAATAAAACATTGGTTGTATTACAGATTAATTTATAATACTGGTATTGGAAATTCAAATTAATAATGCAACTGGAACTGAATATTATTTGCAGCTTGTAATTATTTAGCCAGAGGAAATGACAGAATATAATTACCGGTGGTGCATTGGGGTTGCAAGGGGCCGGGCAGGGGGGACAGACGCCGCACTGAAACATTTGTCAAAATACAAAGGGCTTAGGTTTATTAGTTCCATTGAAATCTGGACATTGAAATGATCCGGATTGATGAATTCGTTTGGCTTTAGATTTGCCGAGATATCATGTTTTGAACGTATTCTCATGTATATGTACGTACAATAATAAAAACAAGTATATTCCTCTGTGATATATATAATAACATTCTAACGTACGTATTAAGACGTCTAGACATATAATAGCAATGATCTTTATAAAAACATCGTGTTCGTTTGAAATTAAATTTAAATAGGCAATATTAATGCAGACTGTAGTGTTGCTTGTTTATGATTGCATGCAAAACAACATTGTAGAGTTCTTATAAGAGAAATAACATTAGAAACCTATTAGGATTGAATCTTGTTGAATGCTGGATGTAAAGTCAAACAACTTGCGGTAATTTACTTGCCAAACTATAATATAAATGTACTTGCTCTGTCGACTCTATGAAATGTGGTTAGCTCGAGTAAGTCGTGCTTCGAGACATATGCGAGCGTCGAGCTTTATTAGCGCATGCCGTTAGCTATATCCCCCTATACTGCTCATATAAATTCTAATCTGGGATATATTTTGTCTATGTTATAGAGACACTAATAAACTCGTATTTAAAGAGATTTTAAGTATATACTTTTCGTGAAAAATGGCAAGAGCTCAACTGACAATGAGCACCTATGAAATTATATGTGAACGAATTTTATACATTTAATTTTCATAGTGTCATGGAATCATCAGGTTCACACTCTGGTAGAAAAATTAATCCGACTAATTAACAAATATAGATTTCTATGATATATTTTTGTATATTATTATTTACATTTATTATGATTCTATTTAACATCCATACATATATAATAATGTTATAATTATAATAATAATTCAATAATGCAATCTAGTTGCAAGTTGAGCACAGCTTAAATTATGGATACTGGACAACTGATATAAATATATAAACATTTTTTTTTCTATAATAATAATGTAATAATAATAATGTTTATTGAACTAATATTTAGTACAGCCTTGACAATACATAATATCTATACATAATATATATAGAAAATACCCTTACCACTAACCAACAATCATATAATACTAATCAATACAAATGTTTCCATCATGCGAAGAATCGAAACCCACGACCATCGAAATTAAAGCAGTGTGGTAAACCGCTACACCACCGAGGCCGGTACTTGGTAATGCCGTAATTGTATTGTTATTAATATAGGCCGTACTCTCGACGTTGCATATGACGTAGTCGGATAACTTAAACAAGTTACGGCTGCTAACGTCCAAACTTGTGACAGTGCGGTACTAATAGATGAGTACGAAGTTCTGTGTAATATGTCGTTACACTCAGTAACGACTGTCTCATCCATCACACTAACAAACGGGTACGACTTATTAAGACTGATACAGTCCGTATACTTATTCCGATATACAGTATCAGAATTGGATTCAAGATATGATAATGTGCTGTTTCACACCTTTTCGTACCTCATCATCATCTGCTTCCTTATCCCATTTATTTGAGGTCACGTAAATCTACAATGATTATTTAAAAGAGCAACACACAAGTTTCTTGGTCGTTCTTCTTGTGATGAGACAGCTTTCCGAATGAGCGGTAGATTAATAAAATTGTTGTGACAATTGAAAAGTACTTAAATTAAGTTTATTTGAAATTTTTTTTATATTCTGTTCTATTCTTTCGTACATCATCATCATCTGCTTCTTCCTTATCGCATTTATTTGGAACCGGCGTAAAATGTTTTTTTATTCCATATTTCCCCTTCGCAGTCACTCGTCATTTACTCCCTTTCTTACCATATCATCTTTCACACTTCCATCCATTTCTTTTTCTGCCTTCCTCTGCCCTTATAACCAACCACATTCATATGTAACACCTACATTAAAATATTATCTTCCTTCCTTTACACCTTTCCGTACATATCCAATAAAAAATTGTTTAAATTTTATAATCATTATATAAAGGAACCAACATTGTTCATAATTCGATTTATTCTTGATCACAAAATTCAAAAGCACTGTATAAAAGTAAATTGAATTTACACCTATATTATAATTAGATTCGATTAGATCAAATCGATTAGTAATGGGTAATGAATTCACATTATTGGGTTTTTAATAAAATAATAACAAATACTCAGCATTACATTACTATCAGTACACAGTGCTGAGTTTACAGTAATTGTATAATTAGCATCAAAGTTAATACTAATCATATATCCACTATTCAGCATACCTACTATTGTCGGCCTCGGTAGTCTTCATGTTTATCATACCACTTTACTTCTTATTACATAGTGTCGCGGGTTCGATTTCTCGCAATGTTTTTTTGTAATTGTCTGTACGTTTTCTATGTATATAACACATTATTAAAAATGTACTTAAGTATCTATATCAATTGTCTAAGTATTCGTAACACAAGCTCTGTTCAGCTTGAGAGTGGATTCCTCTGTGTTAATAGTCCTAGGGTTATTATATTTATTACTAACGGTCCCAGCAACCTGATAAAATTGCGAAAATTTGTTAATTAAAATCACTATTAAAAAATGGCGGTTTGATGATAAAAGGTTGATATATTAGGGTTGTGTATAGTTTTAAGGTCACATTATAAAAAATTTAGAAGAAAAAATTTTGTCCCAAATATAAAACAAATGTTAGAGGTGGAATCAACCCTTATCACTAAGGGGTGTGAAAATTAGTATAAATCTAAATATGCTTACATTTCATAAAAATCGGTCAAGACGTTTCGGAGTATAGTAACTAACATTGTGATACGAGAATTTTATATACGTATATGATTATTCTATAACGCCTGTATATTTTGTCAATAGTGAGTGCATTCACAAAAAAGTATTAATCTACACTATTCCAACAATGCGTGTGCATTCACTGTTGAAAAGACTAACAGCCAACGTTTTGTCAAGCCCTCTCGGCTAAAACGTTTCAATTCCGAACTGCCAATACACGTGACATATCAAAAGCGTTTGTATATGCCTTTATGAATGAAAACATTTGATTTGATATCCATTCGGATAGGCCTTTTGCTTTGGGAGAATTGTCAAAGACAGCCTTTACATGCCGCTGGTCAGATATTCTCCTACTAATGTATTACGAACTAATTCACATTCACATTGGACTAGGTAAATGGGAGGACGGTTGCGTATGACAGCCGTCTGTATATGAAACCTACCATAGAAATTGCACTCTTTGTGTTCTTATTATAATATAAGAGCAAGTAATGGGACAAGCTCGCACAATGGACATCAGATTACATTCTGTGTTCCTATTACTCCCCCTTTAACAATACGTTTACCGACTATACGCAGATATAATCACGCTACGTTCTTGTGAGCAAATAAAGAATTGTAAGTTATCTGTATTTGATATTAACTAATAATATCATCTGCCGCGGGTAGTCGCGGCAGATGTCGCATTCAAAAATACAATATAGTATAATTAAACTCGTACTATACTATACTATAATATACAATATCTATTAAATGTATTGCGTCATACTTTAAGTATCGTGATGCAATCTTTATAAGTAAAGACACGTTAATTGAATTTTTAAAAAATCGTCGGTTAAATAGAAAAATTACACAATACAATTTTTTTTACAAGACAAGTATTTAAGTTTCAAGTATTCAATTTAAAGTTTTTAAACTTATTTAAATTATTATTTTTTCCTTTAAAGTTTTAACATAAATTTACACAGAAGTATTATATATCATCAAAAGTATTTAGATAATTATTAAGACGGCGATTAATGATTAAAGGATGATTCTAGCTTCTAATTTTGAAAAATATCATTTTTCTATTTAACATAATAATTTCAACGAAATATTAATTTTTATCAGTATTTAAATGTGTTTTTGCTATTGACAAAAAATTATTCAATGTGTAGAAGTAATATTATTATCTAGAATTATTACTATAAATATTATTTTATTTTATCACAAAAATATAATAATAATCTCCTACTAAAGTTTCTCTTCTCTTGTACAGTCATTCAGATCTGCACAAGTATTAGAAATATATCGGTACCAAAGGTGATCTAAACTCATGTCCCAGGTCAATTAGCTCTCATAACAAGCTGGCAAAAATCTTCGAAATTGTACACGTACCTCAATTTAATAAATTTTTACCCATAAAATAAAACGTAAAGTGAATAAAACATTATGTATACTTTGCTCACGCCGTGACTCGACATGAATTTACAAGTAGATTCGATTTATCATACTTCGTTTATGTAGGTACACATTCAGACTGCGCGTATTCAGATTTTGAAATTCATCGTACACTAGTCCCTCAATGTGCATGTCACAATATGAAAAAAACAAATACTATGGAATAATTACTTAAAAATTATTCTCAATACAAATTAAAAAGTTAATATAGAAGAAGTTTCAAATATATATTGAACATATATTACATTTAATTCCATCCACTCACAATCCAATGTTTCGTTGATTGTCTAAGGAAGGTTCTTTTACATAATTAACTACTTCACCTCAAGCCTTTTAACACCTGTTTCATTGCTTTTCTTTTTCTATACCGCAATTGAATTTCCCATTGATAGCCTAATGAGAATTTTTATTGTGCGATTCAAACGTTAGGGCACGCTCGCTACCTCTGGTGTACTTTTTAAATAATGATTCGCATACTCGTGTATTGGAAACGGTCTATTTGTTTTCAAAATTGACACACAATGCAATCGTGGCGAGACTTTATAAAATGTTCTGTAGATTGGTAGTGGACGGCGGAACGGGGGACGGTGAGGGAGGTGTTCAGGGAATTCAATTCGCAAACAGTTACAGTATGCTGCTGAAGTTTGTTTACGAAATCGATTGCTTTGTACGTACAGGTAATGAGTTTTATTAATGAGCAATTCCAGAGTTCTTTCTATTGTATTAGAAAATCATTTGTATTTTATATTTGTATAAAGAGTTGGTGTTCAATTTTTTTTCGGACTACTCTAATGATTTTGGCCTTTACTGGCCTTTACAGCTTCACCAGACAATAGGGGGCGAATGAAGATGCACTCCAAACCAAAGGAAGGATTTATGAAGCAGCTAAAGGCCAACTCCTACCTGACGGATACGACTTTAGTCTGAGGGCACCACTAGGGTTTCGAACCTTGGCTCAGGCCGTAATTTCGATCTCCGTTTGTATTGGACGGGGGATCCATCGAAGGAGTCACAATTTTAATGTGTGCATTCGTATATATACGAATCACTCTACAGAAATTTAATAGCGTGTTTGAGAACACCACCTAATTATAGTAGTTTGGTGGTTGCGAACAACACCTTTACAAACCTAATGTAAACTATAACTGACAGAGTATGTCATATTGTGAAAACTCTAATTAGTGTTCTCTAGTTGATGTTGGAAACAGTATAAGCTTATACTAGTTAATACTAATTGGCATATACAGTTGAAATCTAAACTGAAAATGTACATATTTTAGTTATAAAATAGGAATTAAAGGAAATAATATGTTTAATACATAACAATACATTATATTAAGCTATTTTATAGCTTTGGGACATAAATTTCTACGAGAAACTGTTAGGAAAATTGAAAGATTATTATATTTTCTACTAAGGCAACCTAACAAGCAGAAAATAAAAAAATAATAAAAGGCATCCGAGACAGTAGAGGATATTAAGTGATACTTTTTCGCGATCGTGGATGCTTCGACATAAAAATTAATTTAATTTTTTTGCTCTAAAATATCACTTGGTAATAAGTAGGGCCTTAATTACGTAACGTTTTTTGTTTAGGTAACGTTTGTTTACTAAGTTTAAAATCCATAATTTGCAATATGTAGGAACTTTACAGTTGGGTATCGTACAACTTAGCTTGCATCTGCGAAATTCATATAGTTATAATAAAAAATATAATTGACTGCGATAACTACTTGTAATTAATCTGGTACTGAGTTACACATTTATAAAGTATCATAGTCAATGATGTTGTCTGTCACAATCTTTATTAGACACTAACAATTCTATATACAATAAATAATAAATTTGTATAGAAAATACTATATATGAACTATAAAAGTATGTGGCCAGTACGTCACCAATAATCCACATGTAGAAATCATATCATATTTATTTTAATTTGGAACCATTGTTATACTCGCCTAATTAAACAACCAGTTAGTAAAATGACTAGCATGACTTACGAACCAGAAAGGTTGAGGATTTGAAAATTATACCTTTATCAATTTATTTTCGTAACTCTGTGGTTGGAAATACCGGAGACAAACTACAATATTGACAGTTGTTATTGTTTCTGAATACAATATTATATTATTATAGATTACACTTACAGCTCTGCTCATTGGAGGTACGGGGGGACCGCCAGACTGTAATGGAAATATTCTTCTAATTACACCAATAACAGATCATTATAATCGCTCAAAAGTGTCCCACAATTTTCTTCAAATACGAGAAACATTTAGCCTATTATTATCATGTTTATTATAAGGCTTGGATCGTGTTTTATTATAAATTTTCTCTCTCCCGTAAACGTATTTCGCTTTGTTCCACTGCAATTATTTCAATTTATCTCGTCATAAAAAGCTGCCTCGAATATCAAATAATATTACAATATTTGCTAAATTTTTAAGGCAATCCTGATTTTTGTGCTTAGCAACATATTTACAGATTCATTTATATAGACAGCAATATTAAAATATAAATGTATGAGTGAAATAGGCAATTAATTAAAAATTACTTTGGTAATATCCATGAAAACATAAAAGATATCACTACCAATAAAATAAGCGGATTAAATTTCGAAAGCAATTTCTTTCTGAATTTCTCATGAATTATTGAGTTCTGTACCTAAATCACGTTAGTTTATTCCTAATTCAGCTATTAACTCACCGGTTGCTCGAAACAGGTGTTCTGTCCCCCACCACCACGGCACGAGCTGCCGGCAGCTCCTTTTACAGCATCCATTTCGGTTTTAATATGCCGCACTTCCAATTCCAAACCACCCAGCTGTCTCTCCTATATCATATTAAGATACATCAAATCGAAAACCCTTCGTGTATGTATGTCTAATATAGAATCTTACTCAAATTTAGCGACGTTTCGATATGCAGTTTCGAGTCAGGAATTCACAATTGCATCATGTACAAATAATTCTTTGATCAGATCAATTCACGCTATGTGAATTGTCCTAGGTATTACACCGTAGCTAAGCAGAGCTTGTGTTAATTGATAATTGACAAAAATACTGAGACATTTTTTTTGTATATGCATTCCATAATATATAAAACACCCAAACCGATACAAACAATCATACTCATGAATACAATGTACTAAACTGCCACGATCATTGTAGCCGTAATACTTCATTGTTGCTGATTTGTACGGATGCAATCGTAAAAATGAAACTTTTTAAAGTTTCAAGTAAATCAATCATCTACTTTCCAATTCTGTATCGCTGTTTGTTCTTCCAGCTTCTCCATTCACCGCTAGTTTACACGGGTGACAGGGCGTCTGATAGCTATGAAACTCTTATATTTGTTCTTTAAACTCTTAATTTTATAGGAGCTGAGATGAAGTAAATAATTAAAATCTGATAAATATCAAAAAGTTTATATTTACCATCACCAAAATCAGTAAATAAAAGGAGTTCAATTTTGCATCGACTTATTAGAAACTACGGGCATTTAGATATGCCAAGATCGTAAATTATCAATTACAGTACAGAGACAGTGTGTTAGTCCTCCAGAATGTCAATGTATAACAAGACAACACATGTTCGTCATGCTGTTTATGTGTGTATATAGCTGACACTTGCTACATACTGATAATCAGCCAGCTTGTTTACCAGTCACATCAAAAGACTAGGCCTTGATGTATATAGCTACACCTTATAAAATTAAAATCTCACTTACCAGTTCTAATGTAGACAATTTGTAATTTTCTAACTTCTCGACTAAACCCTGAGTTTGCTTCACAGCTGTCGTTTCTTTCTTTAATATACAAAAGTATTCATTTATCTAAATCTAAACTATATCTCTATCTATAAATAGTATAAGCAAATATGTTTATTTACTTCAGTAATAAAAGAAAGTCATTAACCAGAGCAGACCTGTCCCTACTTAGCGACTATTGTATATTGTTTAATAATTTGATGAATTCAACAGTTTAACAGCGATTTATTCTGAGAAATAACACGTAACAACTGTATACTGTAAATTTATATGTTTCTTAATGAACTTAACATTCAGCACTTCTGACTATCAAGTTTGTAACGTCCAGGTATGCGAGGCTGCATTGTTTTGCAGATATCTCAGGTTTATTTCTCAGTACAGTCAAATGTGTTTGTATGTGTTTTGTGTAGGAACTTTAGTAAATTAAGTCTCGCCTTCGGCCAGTCTCTCAACAAAGTATACCATTTTCAAATTAACAATGCCTCGGTATTCAATCTTTGAAGTTGCCTGGTAGCAGAACAAAGCAATTTGATGTTTCGAAGCAATTCTGTGGTAATGCAACTAGTATCCCACCTCAACTTAGCGGCACAGATGTACAACGTATAATGGTATACACACTTTATACCTATAAACTGTAAAGAGGTTTTACTTTTTTCTATTTATATTTGGAATTCAGAAAATTGATAAAGTAGGTACACTTTGACCTTCAAATTTAAAGCGCATGCTATGTATTGCATTTTATTATTTTATATAGATACTGTTCAAAATTTCTATAGTAAAGAGGTTTTACGTCTTTCATAATTTTCATTAAATATAAAATTAAGTTCTTGAAACGCTAATGAAAACCTTACAATTTAAACGACAGATATGTATATACATATATGAATACGTTAAACTATGTTCTGAAATTTGACGTTCCAATATCGACGTTCTACCCTATGTGAGTTGCCTTTGACGGTCAATTCAGATAACTAGCCGATGAAGCCAATAAACCACATGACGAGGATGCAAGAGATAAGAAAATTGGATTAAATTCATGCACCGAGCGGATGCCGGCATGATAACGTTGGCCCAATATCGCTCGCCAAATCATTTATTCGTTATTGGCTTAATATCCGGGGCTCATCCGTCGTACTAGTGAACTAGTGCCCCTTTTAGATACTGACCAGCTCTGACCAATACACTTATGTAATAACAACTGTACTGAAATCACATAAAAGCTGTGACTTTGACCGTATTTAATACTTTTTAAACAATGTTCACATTTTATTTATATGTTATCATAGCAAAAAAAGAATACTAGAATGTTTCCGTTAATGTTTACTTGTGGGGACTGGTCTGTTCTAATAACTAACTAATTTACTCTTATTCAGTTAAGCAACCAGTTGGTTGTGTGTCTAATACTTAGACTGACAAATATATAAAAGTAAAGTTCTCAAAAGTGCTTAATTTAAGTTTTTCTGAGTAATAAATTTTCTCTTCTAATTTCAAAAATAACCAAGCATCTCGAATCTGTACTTCACTGACATATTCTGGTCTACAAAATACTCTAATAGAGTGATGAGAATGCTGTGGCTTCGTAGTATAAAACTACCCTCCAAGTTACACACCAAAAGGTCGTGAGGAGATTTTTGTTTTCACAAAAATCTTTTAATTATAATTTACATTATATATATAACAAATTAAGCATTTATTTCAAATACGGCGTTAGCTTAGCTCTCTACTACATTGAATTTAAATATACTACGTCGTCTACTTTTAATATAAATGCACTACGTCGATAACTGCCAATGACTCCGACTACCCCATCTGACATAACTTTTGTAAGGGTAATGTTATTATTCTTGTCACCTATATATATACCTGAGTGCCGGAACAGTCTTCAATTTCTTGTTTGTTGGGGGTTTCTTGGTTCATCTCAGCTGCATCGCCCTAATAACCAAAAAGCAACCGTACTAAGACATCTGTTTATTATACTCGTTCTTTTATGTAATTCAATAATAATTTATGTGATTAAAGTCAAATAAGCTGACGACTACCCTGATGGTAAGTAACTATCACCAATATACATCGACAGTACTGTGGACATTATGTTATCATGTAATACCCATGATACCACTCATTAATAGCTATTCCATATAACTTACAATGTATTACTCTTATTCTATTATTTCACTTCAACCCAAAACCCTACATAAGATACACATCTTACAAATCAATTAATGTGGTTTAATTACATGACTATTCTACCTGAATTTTGGCTTAGTATAACGTTTACCTCTATTAACTAATCCTAGAGAGCACAAAGTAAGTTTGAAATCAAGATTCAAGGACCAGAGCATCATATGACCGTCGTAAGAACTCCTAATGTCATCGGTGAGAGCTAAGATGTCAGGTGTATCCTGTATTTTCACTGATTCATCTTTTAAAGCGGAACACAGCTTGGGAAGCAAGCAGCTTGGCAGCGCACATTGATAAGACATACGAGTAACTCAGACTGCAACAAATCCACCGCGATAAATTCAACTACTGTATCCTTAAATAATTATTTATATCGCGAGATATATGTAATAATGTTTATTTGGTTCTCGCATTTCTCACAATACGGATCCCAATTCCCACATGTTATTTGATGGTATTATGAATAAAATAGCAATTTCACGGTAGCCCTATTATCCTATTAAAATATTACAGTCATTAGTTAAATTGGCTGTGATCTCAGAAGTTTCAAGAGATTCTTTTACATTATTAAATGTCTGTATATGAAAATGTATTTGAAAAATAAATTAATTCCACCGCTAAACATGTACTAGCTTCTGTCCTCAATTTCATCTGCGTTGTCACCATTCTGTCTCCATATTATATGATACATAAATGGAAAAGTAAAAAAGGTGTTACAATACAAACAGATATACGGTTATAATATTAGTTAAGATAAAAACCATTATTCTGGTTCCGCAGCCACGTAGTTTAAAATTAGTTGCACAAGTTCCTAGCATAATTGCACTCCGCTAGTATAACCTGCAGGTATAAGTTTCAGGGATAATTGTACCCGGAACCAAAGCAAATAATTGATCTAACAATTATGTACAGTAAACTTTAATTGCACCTCCTAACAATACGGATATCTTGTAGTAATCCTACACATATCAAAGAGGTAGATATTTATACAAGAAAAGAATAGATATGGTCAATTTGCAGTATTTATATCGTATTAAAGTAGTATAGTGTATTACTAGATTTTAGGATAAAATCGAATAAACAGATGACATTTCAAAAATAAAATTATATATATGATATCTACTTATCATATTTAAATTACAACATAGCAACTAGAATATTACAATGAAAGCAATTAATTAAATATTTATTTTGTAAGACTAAAAAAATCATCTGCAATGTCAACTTTTTTGTATCGTATTTTAGCTACCTCGGGATTATTTCTCCTCAGTTTCTCGTTCAGTAAACAATTCTCTTTATTCATCAATTTAAGTTCACCTTGCAATCTTTTCACCTGCGCCCGACATGTCTCTAAATTTTGGTCTTTCGTCATCAACTCCTTGTACAATATATACCTGCGACACAAATTAGTACGCACCTTAATTTATCCATTTTGTTTTGTATTTTCCGCTTCGATTATTTCATATTGCAGAAAATTCTAGTAATCAAATCATTCCCAAATTATATTGTCCATTAAAGTTGACAGAAATTGTGGCGTCTTGATTTAGGTTCTTAATTTAAAAGTCAATGAAAACTTCAATATAGGTACCATACTTTTAAAAATACAAATAGATTCCATACAAATTAAAAACAATATGAATAACAAAAAATCATAATGTTAATTACAAGTTATAAGGGAATAGATAGATATTATGGCAGTTTCTACGTATGTCTGTTATTGATTTTGAGGCGATCCAACCGATTTGCCTGAAACTGATTTCATTGGAAATAAGCTGTTGGTGACAAAAACCATGTAGGTATTCCATATATAATTTGTCTACCTCATCATTTGCATCTATTACAGTACCACACGGCGTGTATCTTCATAAAACTCATCACATGCCTAAATTATATTTAAAGAGATTCTTAACTCTATAAAATAGAACTTCATTTATTTAATCATAAAATTAGTTATGATTATTCAGTCGAAACATGTTTGAACATGTGCATTTTATACCTTTTTCGTTCATCACAATTTCATAATGTTTCATTCACATGCATACCAAAATAACACGTGCCAACAAAAATAATAGAAAATTTTTCAATTTACTTCCAAGAGTAGTTTCTCGATACAGAGAATTTGTTTGTGTTTTATATTACCAACAAAACTGAACTGATTTTGGTCTTTTGACGATGGAAACCATGTCAGTATATAGTTATTTTGTAGACAGACTATTATATTCCAGTGCTTCGTTCTCGATATATATATTTACCATGTAGTTTCTTCAAATCACTAGGCAACATAACGCAATTTTAGAGCTAGATTCTAAAGCCTAAAAAAAAAAAAAAAGAAAATTAAACGTTTCACTGTCAACACTTGTCATACTCTATAGACAATAGATTGATACTTGTCATTCTTTACTTTGCGTGGCAACTATTGCGTCATAATTTTTAATTGTTCTTTAATTCTCAGTATTTTTTAATTGAAAACATATAACATTGAGTGTTTTTAGCATGCCGAAACGGAAAAATGAAGACAAAATACAGAAATACAAAAATAAAATACGACGTCTTGAAGAGAAACGTAATAAAGCTCGACGACGCAAATCATCATATTGCGTCTCGGATTCAGAAGAATCTATCCAATATAAACAGACAGGTAAGTTTTATATAGTAAATAATTACAGATATGCAATATCCCAATATACATTACAAAGGTTACGGGTACAAAAACTTGAACATGCAAGTTGCGTCATCCCTAGAAAATATCGTTGAGATATTACAAAGGTCGTCAGTACTAAAAACATGCAAGTTGTGTCATGCCTAGGGAATGTCCGTGAGACATTACAAAGGCTATTTGCACTAAAACTTGAATATAGAAGTTGCGTTAAGCAAGGCGATTATACTTAGTATAGTTACTATGAAAGGTGTCTGTTCTAAAACTGGAACATACATGCTGTATAAACCCTAGGGAGCATCCGAGAGATGTTACGAAGGGTATCACAATAAAAACTTGAACATGCAAGTCAAATTAAGCCTGGGAAGCATCCGTGAGATGTTGCGAAGGCAATGTTTACTAAAAACATAATATACAAGTTTTATTAAAACTGGTAAATTTAAAAAAGGGCTTTTCTAAATGTATTCACGCCTTTCAGATCAATCTGAGGAAAACAATTATACAGAATCTTTAATAGATGCTGTATCTATATGTTCACAAGGGACTAATCTGCCCTCAGATATAGAAAATATGGACCCAAACGTTATACAACAACAACTTCACAGAGATAATCAGATAAACCAACCGGGGGGTCCACTGAACAGTGCACAGGTGAACCAACTTTAAATAGTGATATATTGCAAGCTCTTGGTGATGCAATGGAGGAAAAGCCTCTATTCGGTGAATATATCAATAATTAGTTAGCAAAACGATGGAATAAAATAGCGAAAAATGGGTTAGATAAAGAAGTAAAAGAGTCATTACTGAAGCAGTATTTAATACCTGATAATTGCAAAACTTTGCAAGCTCCTAAGCTCAATCCAGAAATCATGGCCACAATTTCTGATACTGGAAAAAGACGAGATAAGAAAATAGAGGCTGATCAACAACAGTTAGGTCAGGGGATATCAGCTTTGAACAAGGCACTATCCTTGACAATTACCGACACAGGTGATAGTCTAAATGTAATAAAAATATTAAGTGGTGCCTCAAAAATATTAACAGACTTACATTGTCACCTGACATTTAGTAGGAAGAAAATAATCTCAACTTCCTTGGACAAAAAGTTTTTAGAAATTATAAAAGATATAGATAGAGATGAATATCTCTATGGAGAGAATTTATCAGAAAAAATAAACGCCTTGAAAACCCCAAAAAACTGGACAAACAATTAAAAAATCTGACAATATCAAGCCCTCAAACAGAAGAACATTAAATCCTAGCACTTCGGGAAATTTCCGGGGCCTGCCTCGATATGCAGCACCAAAACCCTTCAATCGAGGTGGGCCAAAACGCCTGATGCAACGAAACCTTCCATACAAACAGCAGCATTATACAACAAGGAAATCCAAACAAGAAATGAAACCTCCTGCTCGGAAGTAATGGTATGTCATGGTGGCAGATTATCACATTTTATCCAATGTTGGGAAAAAATCACTGATGATACTACAATCATCCAATACATAAGAGGTTATTCTATACCTTTCACCACTTTACCATTTCAAAACATTATTCCAAGTTCATTTCATTATAATTTTGATATAGAGAAGCAGGATATGAAAATTGCTATTACTAAATTACTTAAATTAGGGGCCATTTCTGTTTGTGAGCCCCATCCAGGTCAATTCATTTCCTCTATTTTTTCTAATTCCTAAACCAAATGGCAGTAAAAGATTTATTTTAAATTTAAAACAGTTAAATAAGTTTGTAGCTACAGCACACTTTAAAATGGAAGATCATAGGACTGCGGCATCCTTGATAAATAAAAATAATTTTTTAGCAAAAATTGACCTTAAAGAATCATATTTGCTTATATCCATAAACCCAGAAGATCGAAAATTCCTTCGCTTTAAATATGATAGATTATATGAATTTAATTCACTACCATATGGCCTCTCCTCCGCTCCCTACATTTTTACAAAAGTCATGAGAGTAGTAGTCACATACTTAAGGAAAAAGGGATATAAGAATATAATCTATCTGGACAATTTACTGTGCCTAGGCACTACTTACCAGTCATGGTTAGAAAATGTTAAACAGACTATTTTTACTCTGGAATGCTTAGGATTTGTTATAAACTATGAAAAAGTTTTTTAGTACCTTCCAAATTTTGCAATTTTTTGGGTTTTATTTATGATACAAGTAGTATGACAATGCAATTACCTTTAGAAAAAACATATCAACTTCAAAAGGTGACAAATAAATTCCTTAACATGTGTAAATGTACAATACGGGAATTTGCCCAACTTATAGGGTTGTTAGTGTCAGCCTGCCCAGCTGTACAGTATGGCTGGTTATACACCAAATATTTAGAACGTCATAAATACCTAGCTTTACTAAAAAATTTTAATAATTATGATTGTATTATGGATTTACACCGAGATACAAGGTTAGATCTTGAACGGTGGGCAAAAAATATATTGCTAGTATCAAAATCAATATTAGTCCGTAATTATGATATTGAATTTTATACTGATGCATCTAGAACGGGCTGGGGCGCGGTCTGTAATAACAGTAAAATTAATGGTGCATGGAAGAAAAATGAATATAAATTTCACATAAATTATCTAGAACTGCTAGCTATTTTTCTGGCATTGAAAACTTTTGTTAAAAACAAACAAGAAATTCAGGTTCTGTTAAGAGTAGATAATAAAACGGCTATTTCTTACATTAATCGTATGGGTGGTATTCAGTACCCACACCTTAATGACTTGGTTAGAAATATTTGGAAATGGTACGAAGAAAGGAAAATATGGCTCTTCGCCTCTTATATAAAATCTTCAGATAATGTAGAAGCAGATATAGAATCTCGAAAAACAAATACAGATATCGAGTGGGAATTAAATTCACGCGTTTTTAAAGAAATAATAAATAAATTTGGTACACCACAGGTGGACCTTTTTGCGTCTAGGGTCAACACTAAATGTCCCTTATATTTATCCTGGAAGCCAGATCCAGATGCATTAAATGTAGATGCATTTACTGTAAATTGGTCAAAGTATTATTTTTATGCCTTTCCACCATTTAGTCTAATTTTAAAATATCTAATGAAAATAAGATATGAAAAAGCCTCAGGAATCATAGTCGTGCCCTACTAGCCATCCCAACCATGGTTCCCCGTTATGCAGGAAATGTTGGTTTCTGATTTATTATATTTTGGGCCAGATAAAGATCTGTTATTGTCGCCTTACAGGAGCTGCCATCCTCTTCACCAGCAACTTATCCTGGTGGGCGGAATCTTATCAGGCAATCTATGATAAGACAAGCTATCCCCACTATCGCTTTAGATACTATGATAGCTTCACTATCAAAACACACACTAAAACAATATGATGTAACCTACAAAATATGGTGGGCTTTCTGTCAAGAAAACCAAATTAACCCTTTGTGTGCCTCAGTACCAAAAATAATACAGTTTTTAACAATTCAGTTTCAGAAAGGCTCTTCTTATGGAACCCTTAATTCTCATAAATCTGCTCTCTCTCTAATAATTGGTTCGCGTATAGGGAGGGATGAGCGTATTAAAAGGTTTTTACAAAACAAATCCTCCAAAACCGAAATACTCTTTTACTTGGGACCCATCTATTGTATTAAATACACTAAGAAAATGGCATCCTTGCATTTCATTACCGTTGGAAATTTTGACGAAAAAATTGGTTACATTACTAGCCTTATGTACAGCACAACGTGTACAAACACTTTCTTTAATAAAGATTAAAAATATATCTTATGTAGAGTCAGGTTTACATATAAATATCAAAGATATAACTAAAACATCTGCGCCAGATCGTTCACAACCGGTATTGGTCTTACCATTCTATACCGAACCTGAGATTTGCCCATCACTTACTTTACAGTTTTACATTAATTGCACCAAAGATATAAGAGGTGATGTTGAAGAACTATTTATAACCATTAAGTCGTTGGATAAAAAATGCGTTGACAAATTCTGGCATTAATACAGATATTTTTACGGGCCACTCTACTCGTCATGCTTCAACATCCATGGCCAAGATGAAGGGTGTGTCTATAGAGGCTATTAGAAATACCGCGGGTTGGACAGAGTCTTCGCAGACATTTGCAAAATTTTATAATAGACCCATTATGCAAAATACTAATATTTTTGCAAATACTGTTTTATCCGCAATGTGAGTGCTAACTATAGTACTTATACAATTTTTAATATAAAAATAAGTGTGTATTAAGGGATAATAATGTGATAATAATTGTAACTTGTTATAATTAAGAACTGTGTAATGAAGAATTTCTTATATGACTGATTAATATGATTAATAATTATGTTTAAAGACTTGATAATGTTAATGTTGAAAATGAGAATTATCCATAATTTAAATTTTTGTAGTAAAAGACTGATTTATACCAAAAATAGAAAGATGTTTTATTACAGCTTATACTATCCAGTTGTAATATTAAGGAAAAAATTAATCACAAACTCACTGAGACTCTAAATATCTACATGGTAAATATATATATCGAGAACGAAGCACTGGAATATAATAAATGATCAAACGAACTTACCTGTGATGTTCGATCATTATTATATGAAGTGCTTCGTTCGAAGATATATACCCACCCAGAGAACATATATAGTAGTAATACACCTGGTTTACTTAATCCCACCCTTTGAGTTTGTGATATAGTCTCTAAAGGAATGACAAGTATCAATCTATTGTCTATAGAGTATGACAAGTGTTGACAGTGAAACGTTTAATTTTCTTTTTTTTTTTTTTAGGCTTTAGAATCTAGCTCTAAAATTGCGTTATGTTGCCTAGTGATTTGAAGAAACTACATGGTAAATATATATATCTTCGAACGAAGCACTTCATATAATAATGATCGAACATCACAGGTAAGTTCGTTTGATCATTTAAAATACACGTCAATATAGATTGGAAATAGCAATTTGGGATGTCATTAAAATTTTATATACAGGACAGGCAGGTAATTTCCTGAACCAAAGAAAAATCGGATCATTACGTGGAATGAAATAAATTATCCAATAAAAAATGATATTTTCTAAAGGAGACAAAACTAAGGCAAGGGTTCGATCTGTTTTAGGTAAAAATAATACCTCTTGACCTCGAGATCTGCGTTGTCTGCTACCAATTTTTCTTGCATATCGTAACTTTCACTCAGCTTGCGTGTCAGGTCAATTTCCTTAAAAAAAAGGATAGCTATTATTGCTGTTTTTATATACTCGTGTAGTACATTATACTAGTTCCAGTTACTTAGTTTGGTATATGATAAAAATAGCTTAAGTATATTGAATTTATCGTATTGATAAATTTTAAGTGTTTCGCCTGATAAGTAAATAAACAGGCAAACAGACAGATCAACGGAAAGACAAACAAACAAATGAATGCATAGACAAATATAAACATAATTAGATAATTTTAAATCTATTTTACTAGTATGAATTTATGCATTATATAGTATCCATAACTCCCACCACGCAATGCTTATAGTTTTACAATCGGAAAAATCCATAAAGGTAGAAACTTACAAAGCAGCATATATGAAGGCTTAAAAATAAAATGCTAGCCTGCGATTTTACAAACGGAGTATTCAGACTTTCTTAGTAAGATCAAAGGAAACACAAGAATCGTTGAAGCGTGTATTTTGCAATGTATTTTGCTACATATGATTCAAAGGTTATTCTTATTCCATTGAATACAGTACTGCGGACGTACAGATTTGCTGCGTGTAGAGGGGCCACATACGACAAGACCTGGCGCCTCCGCGGTAGACCCGCCCGCCAGGAGTACTGTGGGATGATTCATTTTCATTTCGTGGTGCAGAGGAGATTCTACGAAAGAAATATTTGACACGTAAAATTATCTCCAAAGTACATACCATTGACGACCTCGGTGGTCTAGCAGTTTGGCAAACGGCTTTACTTCCGATTGTCGCGGTTCGATTCCTTTACGGCTTTTATCTTACAAAAATGGACACTGGGTTACCCCTAATATATAATACTATAAAAGCATTTGTTATGCTTTCATACCTAAACTGTTGCACCTATTATGATAGACTGGTATAGAAGTTGTCTACTTCATTAGAAATGTTATGGGCTATTTTTTTCAAAACACTGTATCGAAATAGACAATCCATATATATATAAATATACTTATTATTTAAGAGCATTAGAGTATTTGTGTGCGTGTGTGTGCGTGTGTATGTGTGTGTGTGTGTGCGTGTATGTGTGTGTGCGTGTGTGTGTGTGCGTTTGTATTGCAACCACGAATTATTATGTATGATCCGATTTCCTTAAAACAATGCCGATTTGTAGTTTATATCTAATCTAGTTGATAATGCGAATTCGTACCTGTTCGTATATAACTATTTTATTCGTAAACCGATTGGAATAAAACAAACATTGTAGTGAAAATCGGACTCCAATCGGTTAAGCTTTCTCCGAGATTAGCTCGCACAAATGCACGGACAAACTCAATAATTCTAAACTTCTTTATTATAGGTCCTATTACGCTGATGAAATTGAATCCAATAACAGTTTTTCTCATATTTATTTCATGTACAGATTCAGAGAGTACAGGCAGTGATCCGTTTCATTTTAATTTATTTTATATACCTAAATAGCTGTCCCAGGAAATCTTGTTTTGCCATATAAATTAATAATGTTATACAAAAATAAAATATAGTAACTAACATTGTGATACGACAATTTTATGTATAAGATATATAAAATCAGTTATATATCTTCTTAATATTATGAGCGAATTATACGCAAAAGTTTGTGAGTATGGATGGATGTTTATTACTCTTTCACGTAAAAAGTACCTACTGAACGGATTTTTATGAAACTTTACTGTAAAATAGCTTATACATCAGAATAGCATATAGACATGCGGTGAAACTACGGGCACAATAATATATATATAATATAAGAGTTACAGTAAGAATTTGTGTTCTAACTACTCTTAAAAGAGGGGTATAAATGGGTTACAAAAGATAATATAAAATCAATATAGCCACAGCCACAGCCTCGGATGATAACTAGTAGAGCATAAATATATTACCAACCATAAATGCTCGTAGGGACGTACTCTTTGTTCTGACAATCTTCTTTTTTTTTTAATTGCACCACTTCAGCGCCAACTAGCTTCTGCACACTTCTCGTCAGTCGATCAAATCTTTCCATCTCACGGAGCAGTAGCTCATTCCTCTCTCCTAATTCCTTCACGTCAGCCTCGGTAAGTGTTGACTTCTACATACGATATGTTCTAAAATAAATTTCCAACCGTAGCCAAAACTACGTGGCTAGTTTCACTCGGTATACAAAATCTATACATATAAATTGAAGTGTCTGTTTATAATATTTAAATAACCGTTTTTACTACATGCATATGAATATAAATACGGTACATACACTAAAATAACATTTTTTACAATTTTTGTCTGTCTGTTTACAATTTCAGAAATGGCTGCACCGATTTTGACGTGACTTTTTTTGACAGGTAACTGATATAATAAGGAGTAACTAAGGATACTTTTATTTTAGAAAAATAAAGTTATATTCCACACGGTCGAAATCACGGGACTGCTAGTTAATCAATATAAATGGATTCTTATTAAAGAGTAACGTAACTGAAATATATTGTCACGTTATTCTGGGAATGCCTGGAGTGACCTATTACTATAGTTGAAATCAATTCAATCTGGAATTAACGAGCTAGAGAACTGTGGGTCACAAGACCATTGTATTTTGTAACAGTTACATCTATTACAAGTACTTAGACACCCAAATTTGTAGAGAATTGACATGGAGATAGTAAAATCAATAAACGTATTCTTCTTATTATTCAATACATTCTTTACATAAAGGCCACGGTTATGTAGAGGCTTACGTCATCCGCTTCACAACCTATATGTACTTACGGCAGGAGGATTAACCCTTACCATAAGGGTATAAAATTGCAATGCAAAGAATGTTGAAACGTGTATATCAGAAAAAGATCTAAAGGTAAAGAAATTCAGATGAGAATCTTTCCAGTTCTTCTCAATTGAATCTGTATACTGAACTGGACTAAAATGTTAATAAAACAACTTGACGTCTATAAGCGGCTAAAATGTCTTATGTGAATAAATTATTTGATCTTTAATAAAACCAAACAAAAACAAAAATTATAAGTGTAATTTGTTTTTGTTGTACCTATTGATTTAACACCTAGCATTAACATACAGCATTTATTAAGAATTGCTTTTCTTCATACATTCTAAATTAGTATACTTAACCGCATTTTCATTATATTATAAACTAGCAACTCGCCCCGGCTTTGCACTGGTGTACATGTACTATATATGTAGTTTTAAAGATTTAAGCATACATAGGAACAAACAGCGGCAGCGAGTTTATTTTATACTATATAATAATGATAATAATAATAAACTAGCAGAATTCCTGAACTGATATGAATATTTTTTCTTCTAAGTATATTACACATAGAATTTTTCAGTAAATACTGTCTGTATTGGTCTAAAAAATTTCATATTCATGAATGTGACATGCAAGGAATCGAACCCGCAGCCATCGGAAATAAAGTGATGTGCTAAACCGCTAGACCAAAAGACCATCCGTCATCATAAAGTCATAATTCCCTTTTATATTGATTTTCTTCGACTGGCAACACCGACGACAATTGTCATTTTCAGCTGGCCGTAATAATAAATAAATTTTAATTGTTTATCATATAAATATTATAATTTCAATATTATTGCATGATTATATTTGACCCAAAAAATTAGTGCTTGTTGGTAGTTTGTATTCACACGTTTCGACTTGTAAATGTAAACTTACAAGGATTATTTAAAAGAGCAACACACAAGTTTCTTGCTCGTTTTTCTTGTGATGAGACAGCTTTCCGAACGAGTGGTAGATAAAAAACAAATTGTTATGACTATTCAAAAGTGCTTAAATTAAGTTTATTTGAATAAATGATTTTCTATTCTATTCTATTCTATTCTATACTCATAAAAGTGTAAATAGGACAAACCTTTTGTATTTCCAGTAATCGAGCCCGTGAATCTCGGATGATCCGCGCACTCTTCCGCGTGTCATTGTGTATGTCACGTATTTGCCGCGTCAAGGAATCGTCCATATCATAACCCAAGGGGGAACCTATATTAGTACCTAATCTTAATGGAAATGCTTTTTTTATGGGGGAGTTTGGGCTATTGTCAGGTGCTTGGACCTATAACTCTGCGACCTACATAGATCTATTGTTCTCTTCTGTATCTCGCCCTTTTTCAGAATTCGCTACGTAGACCCGTCAGGGACAAGAATTTAAGGATATTCTTGGGATTGATGATTCTCCTCAGGATAGAATGTAAACTTTCCAAAGGAGATATGTGGACTACAACCACAGTGTAGTCCACATATATTGGACCACTATATCTTATCTAGTGGATAAGTGGGCTACAACTACATAGGATGTGTAGTGGCGTTTCCCCTTCAGTTTGGCAAATGTGGATGTTAGTCATACGACAATTCCAGACTCCCCACTGGAAACCATCGCGGTCAATTCGTAGTGAATCAGTTCTGATAAGCTTATTGATTCGACTTCATGATTATCTTCCACTGGTATTTACCACTAGCACAGGCGAATGCTTCATTTTGATGCTTCCATTTAAGTCAGGATAATTCACACAGAGCCATATAGTCCAAGCTAAGCAGAACTAGTGTTACGGGTACTACACGACTGATATGAATACTTAAATATATTTTATTTTGTAAATTCATACATAATATACATCGAAAACACCCAGACCAATACAAACACTAAGCAGAGCTTTTGTTCTGGGGTACTTGAAAGATATAAAACATATCTTTTTTAAGTGCATACATAATGTACATAGAAAACACCCGAACCGGTACACTCATAAGAAACAAGAATGTTTGCATCGTGCGAAAATAGAACTTGCGAACATCGAAAGTAAAGCGGTGCGCTCAACCGCTAGACCACCGAGACGGTAATTCTATTATCATCATGCCAAAAACTGCCACCATTACCTATATATACATAGGTATTTCTTACTATGAGTACAAGATCGACATACTTACACACTTCCATTATGTCAAGATATGTCACAAAGAACTCGTTGCCTAACGCCTCATAATAATAATGGGGAATCACTTATTTGTAACCCGCAAACTGATTCTATTGAAATACATTGTTGTTTTGTATAATCTGGGACGTTTGTTTTATTTTAATACTTGTTTTTCTATAAGCTATTGAACTCGAGGTGTACTTTATGCAATTAAAGAGCATTCTATTTTATATTAATGTAAAAAGCCATTCGTGATTTTGGTGATCTCTAACAATTGTAAAACCTTTTTCACTTTATTGCACCGGATTAATAAATTAAAGATTAATAAATAAAAAAAAAATATTTTTGTCAATTCACAGAACGCCATCTAGAGTCAAAGTCAGCAGAGCTTTGTTATGGTTGTAGCCTACTGATACAAATACGTAAATACATATTTCTGTAATTCATGCTCATAATCAAACCTCGACTATGTGAAGTAAGTAGTTATATTAAACTGCTAGACTACTGAGGTTGACTATAAATAATAACTAAATATAAACTCGATTATAACGTAGCCAGAGAACAAATCCATCAACATTGTTGTTGGTGTCATAGTTTTAATCTGCATTTAATATTATATTCCAATGAAAACTATATCCATTACTCCAACACTAGACACAGCTTCATAAGTTTGAGCACATATTTGTAGTGCTTCAGCACACACTGGACACATGTTGACGCAAACAGAAGTGTATCTAGCAGATATGCTTGGTAAACCTGTTCGCTGGTACTGCTCAGGCAGTGTAGACTTTGGACTAGAGGAGCATGCTATGCACACATTCCAAGTTTGATCGCTTTGATATGAGCTTAAAAACCGATACCGGCCGGCAAAATGCAAATATCCGTTCAAAGTTCTAATACAAGCTCAAGTACCTAACACCTCACATGTCGCGATTTTGTAAGCTTAGCGAAACTTTGTCTATCTATCTGCTTTATGCACTTACTTGATCTGGATTTCTGAAACAATGTAATAGTTATTTTTAAACATTCGTAATTAATATACATTATTTATATAATTAACCGGGTCATAATACGAATAATTTTATGGCAAAAAAAGGTACGGGTATTTACCACTCTCGATGTTTTGTCTAGGTCGCACTAGCCGTGGTCACGAGCTGACTGAGAGATATTTACCATAAAATTGTTCGTGTTAAGACGCGTTTAATAATATAAATAATGAAACAATATTGTATACATTAATGGAACATACATTTTATATTTTTATAAATCAGAGTTCATATTTCTTATATATATACAGATATTGTTAAATAAAATAAATCATAATTATTATGTAACCACCTTAGTTAAATTAGGGCAGGCACATTTTCCTTTATTCATTTTCTTGTTTGATCCCTCTATCCCGTGATCTTTCCTCATAAACATCCTGGCACATCTCTTCACACTATCCCTGATAGGGCTTGATGACTGTTGCGCCATGTCTCCCGAGATATCCGACAATAGAATCTGGTTTTTGACATTAAACAGTGTGTCTATTCCGAATTCTTCCTTTATGTCATGTTGTTTATCTTTCTGTAAGCCAATCTGAAGGTAATAAGTTTTGCTATTTCATTTTACAAGGCACCATACTCATTTCTGTTATGTAAAAAAATATTGGTAATTTAGGCAGTGAACTCAGTGAGTATGGAAGATACGAGGTATCGTGGTACTATTCATTTCAACAGATAATAGGTTTTTATAGATGATCAAATGGTCCACTACTTGTTCTAATGGTATACACTGACGGGGCATCAGTAAAAGATGATAGAATAAGAATAAAGTTAGGTTAGTTATCGTAGCAAATTTACCAGGAATTAAACAAGATGGTTTCCAGATGGAATCGAATAGAGATGATCTTACAGTGTATAATATTAGCAATAGCCATTTTAGTCCCCATTACTACCAACATCCTGCCCCGTTCTCCCACTCTATACAACGACGATCTCTCCTGGATGCATTAATTAACATAAATCGTCGTCATTGGTCGTGACAGTATACAAATTTTGTATATAAAATGTTAATAATATTGGGTTTAAAAAAATAATATTTAATACTTACCAATCCAGACTCTGAAGTAGAATGGCCTTCAAGTGGAGATCGGTCTTTGTCAGCACTTTCCGTACCCTTTCTGACGGTGATGACCGGCAAGCAGTCTGCAGGTATGTTCGGGGAGCTGATCGTTTGGTCCAGGGAAGGTGACGTCTTGAGAGATGGTTCGATGCGTCCTCTTGGTTTGGGTAAAGTTTTTGTGGTCTAAATATAGATATCGTGTTTAGAATGGTACATTGTTACTTCCAAGTAAACATAGAAAGATATCCAATTGTATAGCTTGAAGCCAATAGATTATCATGATTTTTATAGAACAATATTTACTAATAGATAACAGTGTATACCTCATATATATATTATTTCTTTTATTATATGTTTAAACATATGTTCATAAAATACACCTGTAGTAATATAATAAATAGAAAATATTTTATTATTAGTACTTCAAAGTTTCAACATTACGTTACAATAATATACCAAATGACATACTGGATTCTTGAATTAAAAGCTTCTATATATATAAAAAGCTTCTTCTTATATTAATATATAGAAGCTTTTAATTTAATAAATAATATATATATACTTACTAATCTTAAACTTCTATTGACTAAACAATTACTTAAATGACAAACATGCATGAGAATAGTTTCATTTAGGATTTCATGACAATAGGTATCATGAAAGCATGAAAGTCTAAAAAAAATATAAATCTATCTATCTAAATGAATAAAACAACTTTTATTATAACTTCTCAATTGAATCTGTAGAATGAACTGGACGATAAGGAATAAAATTAATGCATATAATTACCTTGCATAAGTTAATATATCCTACATGATTAAGGGTTTAGATATTTTGAATTCAGAGAACCGCTCTACAATTATGATTATTTTTTTTCACTAACAACAAACTGGCTTTAAATTGCTCAACGAACTTTACCTTTTTTTACATAACAAACAATCTAATGACTTCATAGAATATGGCAACCGTCACCCATTTACACAAATATAATATCATTATGTAACGTCGAAGTTGCTATTTCTGAAGAATAAGACAGCAAGCTTTCACTCCCATAGGTCCTTTTAAAATGTAAACGCAGTGTATAATGTCAGTTAGCTAATATATAAGACAGAGGTATTAAAACACGATTTGGTGCCAAAATCTTCCTTGTAAAATCATGTTATTCTACCTACCTTCTACCTGCTATATGTACATATACCGATGGTATTGAAGTCGATTGTTTTGTGGACATAATACAATCCATTATTTTTATGTCTACTATAAAGGGTATGCTAATGTATGCTAATGCTTACGCTACGCTCAAATATAGCAAAACTATGTATTATTATTTCATATATGGGCATCACGTTCATTTCATTTACATTTCTAAAAATATTTACATCGCGTCAACTATTATAATAATTATGTAATATTGTTCAAATTAACACACGTACTACCAGATTGTGAATCTAACTCCAGAAAATCAAGTTTCTAACATTCATATTCAATTGCTTTTTAGGGTTCCTAACTGAAAATATAAAACCAAGCATTTAGATACCCCGTACTATTCATGAACTTCTAATATCCTAAATATTGAAAATTAACAGATGCTGTCTCTTCCAGTATGTTCGATGAAACGAAAGATTTGAATATGTTTATTTTCTTTGTAAAATCGTTCAAATGGTACTAGAAATATCGCAACATATCCGATTAGTTCAAATGATGTATTTATTATAAGAGGTTCATTTGTAGGTACATTGTAAAAGCGATATTTATTTTCTTTTATGTCGATCGTTTCCAAATTATGATGGAGAATGTAAAATGTAATAGCATTCGTTATCTGTAATGTGTCTGAAGTGGGAACTCTGAATGATTTCCAAGTATTAAATATAAGTATATGTAAACATTAAAGAAAAAATATAAAACCATTTCTAATAGGTACATTCATTAAAAAATAGTAAGAATCCATCTACAAGCTTAATTTAATCTATACTCTATACATTAAATAAAATTGGAGTATATTGTAGCACATGAATATAAATACGGTACATACACCAAAATAACATTTTTTACAATTTTTGTCTGTCTGTCTGTCGGTCTGTTTGCTGCGGCTAATCTCTGAAATGGCTGGATCGATTTTGACGGGACTTTTTTTGGCAGGTTGTGTTTGTAATAAGAAGTAACTTAGGCTACTACTAAAGTTTAATTCCACGCGGACGAAGTCGCGGGAGCAGCTAGAGTGATATAAATGTATAAAGATAATTACTATTAATTGGTCTGATGTTATAATTATAATAACCAAAAAAAAAATTCTCATTTTAATATACGCCAATTTATGGTCTACTTCTTGGTATTTAAAAGATGTTGCCTTTGTGTAAAGTCCCATCACCGTCTAAGACTAAGACGAAGCCAGCCTATGGCAGCGAAATTACAAGGAACAGTATTACCTCATTAGTCCTCTAGAAAACTACCGCGTGTTGATAAATAACCAATCATTACATTAAAAAGCTACACCATACCGTATTTATCATTTTATATTATTTCTTCGGAACCCTCATTGTGAGTGTCCGACCCAATTTTTTTCCAATACTAATTTATATTCTATTCTATCAATAAGTAACGTTTTTTACCTGTTCGCTATGCTCTAAAAGCTGTCTATTTGGTAATCTAGGTTTTGCATTTTTTAAATATTTATTTGACAGATGAGAGCATAGCCCTCGCGTTCCAAACAGGATATGTTGATCATTCTGTTGACCTTGTATACAAATTATTACATATTTCTAAGTGGAGAAATCATCATTATTACATAGTATAAAACAAAGTCACTGCCGCTGTCTGTACCTGTATATTTAAATCTTTAAAACTACACAATGTATATTGAAGCGTTTTTTTGTAATAGATAGAGTGATTCTACAGGAAGGTTTATTAATATAATACATGTACACCCGTGCGGAGCTGGGGTAAGTAGCTGGGGTAAGCACATTTTACTAATAAACTAGTTACATCTCGCGGCGATGTCTACGTCTTGACTCTAATTATTTAGCGCTAGTTTGTAGTTTGTATTTACTATACACCGATATATTACAATAAACTACGATAATCCTATTATGAATAATAATGTAACTTTTCCTTAGCGCAGAAAAATGTTTATAAAAATAGTAATGTACTCTTACATTAATTTAAATTATCTGTTACTTTTTTCTGGACGATTCTCACAGCGTTATCTAGACCTAGTTTCTGTTATAGGTACTGTATTTTGTTCATAAAATACATATTTACTATGAAGGAATCAAACCGATACAAACAACATATCTACTATATGAATAGAAATATTTGCGTCCGGTGAAAAATCGAATCCGCGACCATTAGGAATGTGCTGAACAGCTAGACCACCGTCTAATTGCTTCACACGCAAAACAGTTGATTTAAGCAAATCTGTTGTTATTGCGAATCCCACTCGTAGGAACCCGTAGGTGCAGCTACTGTGATAACAAAATATCACATAACAACATGTAAAGCTGGCTCAACAAAACACAACACCATAGTGTTTTGAGAAATCAAATAATGTACATCTAGCGCGGCGCCAGGGCTGTCAGTTATTTGAGATATATTATAACACCGAATAGTAACCAAAGGATGTAGTTCAACGTGTAATTGAAACTTTGTCTGCATGACACTTACTTGACATTCGTCATTATATTTCGTATAATTTACATTATATATATTTAAACCATAGCCTAAGTGTTATTCTGTAAAGTTTCATCAAAATCTGTTCAGTAGTTATTTCGTGAAAGAGTAACAAACATCTATCCATACTCACAAACTGATTGATAATTTTTTTTTTATTTGAAAAATTGATCTTCATTTTTGTTTTTACGGTTTTTTGAAATTGTTCTAAGCTATAAATTATTAAAGGTTCTTTTTTATATTCGGAGGAAACTTAAATTTTTGAATTTTAAATAATTATCATACTGAACATCAAAGCGTTCGATAGGATATGAAACTCCTGGCAACCCTACGCTCAACCCACGCCGCCTAGACCCATAACAAATCCGTTTCTTACATGGGCTTGGCCAAGATACAAACCTTGCACTCGGAAACCACTAATGCTTACTAAGAACTCTGCTTACTGCGTTGATAAACTTGGAAATCATATACCATAAATACGCCTTCACAATTATTGTCCCATATCCGCTCACGCCAACGATTTATGCTGACGGGGCACAAGTGGACGATAATACGTCCCCTCGGATCGATCCCCCATCTAATTCAAACGGGGATCGAAATTACTCGAACCCCTAACAGTGCCCTCAGATTAGTCGTATCCGTCAGGTGGAAGTTGGCCGTCAGCCGCTCTATAAGTCCTTCCACGGGTTTGAAGCAAGATACGTATCATGCGGTGAAGCTGTGGCCAGCTGCGGCCAAAAGTATTAGAGAAGTTGGGAAAAAAACTGGTCTAGGTGGTAGTCTGGTGCGTTTAACATACAGTCTTACCGATGGTTCGATTTCTCGCACTGTACAAGCATTTGTAGTCGTGATAAGTATATTATTACAATGTATTTATATCAGTTGTCTAGCACCCAAAATACAAACTGTGCTTGGGCCTAGATGGAGGTAATTGTCCTAAATAAAGTATATATCTAAACTTACTATTGTTTACATAGTAATAATAAAATCAAAGTGTTAACATGTAAAATTTTGTGATAATAAATAACAGACCATTACATATTAAGATTTTTAGTCGGAGAGAAAATGAATATTTATGTAGGTTTGTTTTTTGTCTATAATATCTATTATGTTTCCTATTTTCGTTTGTTCTAATTTTGCTATACGTAATGAATCACTATTTAAACCAAAACACTACTATCTCTCCATAATAATATTTACTTGCATTATAACCTTTATAACATTATAACCTTCGCTCACACCCATTACTACTAAACTCCTTCCCCTAATTCAAACAGTCTACGTCGTCATGATGTACGCTGCACTTGACATGCCTACATTCCCCTGGATACATCTGTATTCAACATAGTATAAGGAAAGTCTACCACCGTCTAGAAATAATTAATTTTGTTAATGATGTTTCCATCAGAAATATAAAAGGTTTTCGATGACTACCAGACTTTAATTCACGACCTTTGAGATCTCCGTTGGGTCGTTAAACCTCTCCACTACAACGTTTTCAAAATATTCATATGATATTAAAATGCATTCAAAGATTATAAAGACGTTTGCATTATCAAATATTGGATGCAAATATTAAACACAAATATTGGATTCCATATTTACCCATCATAGGAGCACATGCATTTTTGAGTCATGAATACAGGATTGAAATGTAGTTTGATTTCACTACATTATTCATAAGCTGCATAACACGTTCTACAGATTCACAATAATCTAGCAATCTGCACCGATTTTTCGATCTGTTTACTTATTAACTTTTTTTATTATAAATAAAAAGTTTGAATAATAGTAATCTCAGGACAATTTACAACGCCATCTAGACCCAAGTTAAGCTACAGCTTGTTATCGGTACTAGATAACTGATACAAATAGGTAGATACATTTTTTTTGTAAATACGTACATATTTTACTTGAAAAATACCCAGACCGATACAAAGAATCATAATCAGGAATAGTAATGTTTGTGTCGTACGAGGAATCGAACGCGCGACCATCGGAAGTAAGGCGGTGTACTAAACCACTAGATCAGCGAGGTCGTCAATCGTATTTATCTAAATGAAATACAAATTCAAATTGCCATTCCCGACGACTGAAATGTTGTATCTTATCTTGTAATTTTTACCTCGGTCTCACTTATTTCAGCCGCCAAGCAACATGCCAACAACAGAAGAACTGGCAAGAAACTCAATTGATATACTTTTTTTTTAAATCCAGTTTATTTACAATGCATAGGTATTTATATAGGTGTCTATGTCTAACATTAAATGTAATTCACATACATTAACATTCAAGTAATCGTTTAGTGAGTAATAGGCCTTGCTCAGTAAATATGATTTAACAGATGTTTCGAATTTATTTAAGGGTAATTCCAATATATCCTTTGGTATCTTATTGTAAACCTGTAGTCAGATGCACTACAGGTTCTATAGTTATATACTATGGGTACTTCTACTGCATATCTTGTAGTTGTTTTGTATGCCAGATATGCATTACGATTGTACTATTTTAAAAACGTATAGAACTATTTACCATCTTTGTCTACAAATAAATATTTTAATTATTCATTCAATCTCACTAGCCTGCCAGTAGTCTGCCTTGTAAGTTTTGTTTAAATTTGGATCGCTATCCAAACTAGAACAAAACTTACAAAGCTACCTTCACAACATCATAGTGTACTATATCTCGCTAGATACAGCAGTAAAAGTATATGGTACGCAAGTATTACGGCTAAACGATTTTCTATATTATTAATTGATTTATGTAAGTATAGATTTAGTAATCACACTGTCTTAATATAAAAATATTACACACTGAGCAATAAATAGCCAATATTGTTCGTTAATAATGTGGATTTTTTAATAACTACAATAAATCGAACAACAATATTAGTTACAAATAACTCACCTTCATTGTCACTCAATTCATAAATACTTCACTAATTAAATAAATTTAATAAATATAAGAAACTCGTAAAATATGGAAATCTTAATTGAAATAATCAAAAATATCTATGTCAATAGTATTGTCTTTGTGACAAATGTGTCTGAAATAAATATTGACAGCTTTCTGATCATCTATGTTAATAAAACCTTACAATTTAATCTTTTTTATGAATAATATTTCGTCGAATAATCATAATGCCTGCTTTATCGACCTAGGTCCATATGTTGTTGCTAAAAATTTGCTCAGCATCAAAAAAATAGTGTGTCAATTAATTTTTCAGACTGGATTTCTGGTGGTAAAAACACAGATAACAAACAAGATGATTCCGAGAGACGGCGGTAGGCTCACTATTTACGAGTTAATATATCTAGGATGTAGTAAAATGTGGGAATGTTAAGCATTATGTTCATCATAAATTTACATTTGAAAATGCCTCTCAACTCAATGATGGCGATGATACAGCCCTGGCTGTTCAAAAAGTGCCTATTGACTTTTGATAGGAAATACTGGCGCTGGGAGAGATTTCCAATTCTATAGCTCCTCGTTTTTGTCTTCATTACATAGTATAAAATAGTCGCTGTCGATGTCTGTCCCTATGTATGCTTAAATCTTTAAAACTACGGAACGGATACTGATGCGGTTTTTTTAATAGATCGTGATTCAAGAGGACGGTTTATATATATATATAATACATGTACACCCGTGCGAAGCCAAGTTGAGTAGCTAGTTCTTAATAAAACTTTAACAGCCATCAAACTAAAAATTTAATCGAATTATTGTTATGCTACATAGGACGACTGGGTGACCACTCCGAATATATTAATATAATATACAAATTATTTTTATAAATATAACAAATCTTTTTAGAATTCAGTCAGTCGTAAATGTTCTGAGCATAGATGCAGCAAAAGTAACAAAGTTGAAATAAAAGGCCAAGACAAAAGGAGCACGCTAGGTTTTATTCAGTTGGGTAACCTTTGTTACAATACAGACTTATAGTTGAGAGCTACATGCGAATGAAATTACAATTTAATATTGGACGTATATACCAAATAACAATAAGTACATAATACTGTATAACGCACACCAAACCACCAGGTCTATCGTCTTACTTCCAATGAAAGCGAATTCGAATATTCACACGCTGCCAACATTTGCATCCATTAATGTGATTATTAATAATTATTATTTTATTTGTAAGGGCTTATGGGTAGATTACATATTATACTATATTATTAAAAATATGGCAACTTACAAAATCTGCAGATTGTCTAAAATAAATCTCCTGTTTTCTATGTATATTATGTATGCATTTAAAAAATGTATTACATATTTATGTCAGTTATGTAAGTAAAAAAAATACGCTCCATTAAGCCATTTCTATACTAATATAACAAAGGAAGAGATTTGATTATTAGGAAAGTAAACTGCAGATCACCGCACTGATTTGAGAAATTCTATCACTGTTTTAGGGTGACATAGGCTATATTAGTTTATATAATACTCATAAAGTTATAAGCTTTCGTGCATCTTAGTCTTAATAATTTAGTAATTTAAGATACAGAATAATGTAGTAAATATTCTACCATCTACCTTTTTTTTTAACGTGGTTTGTAAGATTAGAAGGCGTGTATCCATTCGATGATACCAAGCATTTATTTGTTTATGAGTGCATTGTTAAACAAGACAACTTAGTATTCTATGAATGCTTGATACGCTGATATTATAATTTGCTACTGAAACAAAAATTGTAATTATAGCGAAATCGCTAATTATCAACATTCCATGAATAAGTTTTACTTTCAAAGAGTATCATTTAAGTTATCATTATGTAATTATATAACAGCGTACAATGTATGTGAATATTGACAAGTCATAAAACTCTCTTAATATTAGGTATTTGTTTTGTATATCTCTTGTTTTTATCTGTAATTGTACTGTTATATATGTATGTGTACATCAAGATTTTATCGCAAGCAATTAGCACCGTTCCTTATCTTTAATATGTGTTTACCTTCACGGAGGCCGTTTCCAAAAACAGAAGTATTAAAATCCATACTTATATTATAAATATAATATATCGGACTGTCTGTCAGAGACGATCCAGATGAAATATGCCGTGAAACCAGAACTAAAAGACTATGTATAACTAAAATATATTTATAACTAAAAAACATGCAATATTTTATCTAAAAAAATCAGACATTAAATTAACAAAAAATATTTTTTATGTAACTCGAATATATGTCCATCAACAGCAATACGAAAATCACAACATCATATGTACTCACGGTGATATTTTTGCGCTAAAAATACTCAGTATAAAAGTCTCATGCCTCGTATCATGCAATTTAACTGTCATATATTCCTCGTAGCCCGGAACACAGTTATAAAGTAAGCTGCTTGCCGGCAAAACTACGTAAGACAGACGAACCCATGCAGACTGTGAACTGCCTGTCACATTTGGTTGGTTTTCTGTCATGAATATGTATTCTGTCGTGTTACGTTGCTATATGGATCTTGTTGAATATGACCTAGAAGTACATATAATGATGTACTGTTAAGATTGAGGTTACTTACGGTTGGTAAAGATTTTTCCAGGAGTTATTTATTTACTATACTACTATACGGCCCTTTTAAAGTTTTACGATAATATAGTTTACAGAGTTTTAACATTAATAATTCCTCTGAAATTCGTAACTCGGGCGGGTGTAATCAAGTCCAACATCGAGTAATGTAATAGTTATCTTCGTTGATCAAGTGGTTTAAACACAGTGCAGGTTCATTTCCTCGCACGTTGGAAACATGCGAGGAATCAATCATATTGAAAAATACAAAATGTTTGAATATGATTGATGATGAATTTGAGGACGTTTTCTGTGTATATCATATATAATTATGAAAGTAAATATATTTAAATATTTCTATTAGTTGTCTAGTATACATAACTCAAGCTCTACTAAATCTAGATGCCGTTGTGTGAATTTCGTAGGTTGTTAATATTTGTTTCGTGTATCTATTTTCTTTATTTTTCATGTTAAGACTTTTATAAAATGTATTACAAATGTCAAATGATGTAAATGTTACTAAAAATGTCAATTAAATTTTGCCTTTAATTTAATCTCGAGGTTATGTTGACTAATTAGCATTATATATATCACTTTTTATTTCTAAAATTATTAGTGAGGAGAGAGGGGATTTTTAGTAATGGACACTACGGTAATCCTTGGATAATATCGTGAATAGCTGAAGTCATGATGGATTAACTGATCTGACTTTATGCTCCCCTTCCACTCTACACTGGTGCCCCGCCAGCATATACCATTATAGGCGGGTGCATCATTACATAAACATTCTTAGAAAAAACTATACAAGTGAAATACACATAAGAAACAGTTGGCAAATGCAACTGTGATTCATATCAATTGCAAAATTAATATATAAATCATATATAATAATAAAAAAGACAGGGTAATTTACACAGTGCTATGTAGTCCCAAAATAAGAAGAGTTTTTATTATGGGAGCTAGACAACTTAAATACATTTTTAATGCATACAAATTATACATAGAAAAAGCTTAGGTCAGTAACAATCATACTTAGGAATACAATTATTTGTAACGCGCGAACATCGATCCTATGATCTTGGAAATTAAGACGGTATGCGAAACCGCAAGACCACCAAGACTTTCAAAGAAGAAAAAAAATCAACAACATTACATAATTAAACCACTGAACACTGGCTATTATTATTATTTATTTTAATTCGGATTACATCCATATTGTGTTAGTAAAAACTTATAATACTATTTTAGTAAATTATAATAAATACACAGATATATGATTAAATACACAGATATATTAATTAAATATATACAGAGATATATTTAATTCATATATCTGTGTCCACGTCCAGAAGCACTGGGTCCACAATGCAACGATATCCAGTGCCTCTGGAGCGGACAATCAAGTATACTCGCAACAGTTGTTAGGATGCTGTTTGTGCTACCCCGAATTCTAAACATCAGTGATGCAGCTCTTTTACGCATTACGGCTTGCAATCCATATACCCGCGTTGCTATTATTATGTGGTTGAAACAGCAATGTATCCTATACCCCACCTGACCAATACAGTTGCTGCACATAAACAGTGCCTACACTTCATCATAAAACGCTAGTAATATACAACGTCGCTTATTGTCATTCTTTCTTTTGTGAACTACAATGGTAATAATAGCGGAAACAAGCATAAACGGCCCAACTAATATGATAAACGGTTGCCATTGCCTATGGATGCATAGGGGTGGTACGTGCCATTGTCGACCTTTAAAAAATCTTAATATCCTTCTTAAAAACCCCATGCTGTTATCTGTCTTGTTAGAAAACCTCGCTAAGTAGTTCATACCAAAATCTGTCCGAAACCACATAGGTTCCAGTAAGTGGATACAAATTCCCTATTGATGTCGTGCAATGGTAAAAAGTAGCCGTAGGCATCATGTCGATCTATTTGTATATACACGTGGTAGACACACAAAGCGATGCAAAGTCTTACCTTAAGCTAAATGGTCGGAAACCGCTATTCATGAGGACTAAGGAGTAATATCCCTGTAATTCCACTGCTATATCTTCAACCGAAACATAGCTTACATTGCAAGATATTTAGTGCCAGATACATTAGATTGAGGTATCCATACTGATAACTTAATAGAAATTTATTTAATATCAAAACAGGTAGGATTCTTCATGTAGGCGGTCTTTATACTTTGCCTTAAACAAATGCTCCCACGGTTCTTGCAAGTCGTACTTTCGTTCCTTCTAAGAAAATCGATTACACTTATCATCAGTTTTTTATGTATGTAGTATCACGATAATTAATACATGCATCGTAATTCCAAACAACAGTATTGGTCACGACACACTAACATAATAGCAAACTGCTGACCAAATAAAACTATCTTACAAGTTACTGTACAAATGACTTCGTAACTAGGCATTCTATTGCGTAGAGAATAGAGTTCAAAATTAATATCTGGTAATGTAAATGTAAAGTTTGTGACAAAGATAATAAGTTAATGCAATTACGACGCTTGCCAGGTTTCTTCAGTTAGGGAGGCAGCGCTGTCCAGGTAATGGTGACAATAGCTGGCACAGATGGCTGAAGGTAAGTGATTAATTAATTAATACACTCATATTATTAAAGAAACTCACGGTATACTATTAACGCGGTATTATATTTAATATTGTAATTATTTAAGATTATTAGTTTGTACTGAATAAAGAAAAAATATATTCATCCGATTTCTTTTATATAGGTCGAGGTCGAGTAACTTATATTATTTTAATTAGAGTTCTTTACATTACTTCCACCCCTGCTAATCTAAGCAGGTTGCGTGCATTTAATATAATAAAAACAACGAAATTAAATTAAATTCGAGGTCCTTTCCAGCTCTTCTCGACTATTTCCTGAACTGGACAAATTAATACAAATGACCTATAGATTAATAAATATACTTTAGATTTTAATTTAGAATGTAACTGCGACGTTGTTTGTTCTTTCATCGAAATGTTAATTATATTATTTTTAATTGAGTTTGTACAGTTTATAATATATCTATCATTTGGTTAATGGATTTTTAACATGTTCACATAATTTTATCAGAGAGTCGTGCGTTTTATCGTAGTATTCATAAATTGGGACACATTGCGTAATATTTGTTCTATTTCTAACATCAATATTTTGTTATAAATTGGATTTAGCTCTTAAAATACTGTTTTTATTTAAAAATTCTTTTATGAAATATTATATTTAATGAGATTAATATTTGCAATTATGCAGAATATCTACATTAATATCGATTTTAGCGATTTTTCTGAAGTCTATAGAGTTTACACTGTCTGATCTTGTTTATGTATCCATTGTGTTGGTATTATAAGTCAAATATTGTCTATGGAGGTTCCACAGACCTCGTCAACATTTTTGTATAAATACTTACGGAATTGCCTTATATAATAAACAGAATAATAATATTGTCAATATAAGGATAATTACACTTCATTAGAATATGATAAAACTGAATATACCTGTATATCTTTTAAATTCAACAATTTTCATTAAAAATATTTATCTACGCCTTATTTGCGATCATAACAAAATAACGGTCATCGTCTAAATATAAGTTCCTATTATCTATACCTATTATTTGATTTCGATTTAATAAAACTAGATTGGCAAACAAGGTAACAGGTAAACTAATAGAAATTAGTCACCATCATGAAATATACATAAAGCTCAAATATCTCAACACATACGAAATTTAAAATATGTTTCTTTTCACATTTCTCCGTCTACTGTTTTACGAAATGTTTAACTGTTATAAAATACCATATGACATATAAACTCAATTTAACAGTTTAGCGCACCACCATTCGATAGTCACGGGTCTATCGGTCTAGGTGTTTTCTTATCATGTATTGTTTATATAAAGAAAATATTTATACATATTAGGAATATATATATTTTTATATATAGGGGTCTCGTACTCATCATATAAGCTCTAGCTTGGTACTCGATGACACTCTGTGAATTGTCCTGGGATATTAGTATCAATAGCTGTGCCCGCGGATTCACCTTGAAATTTATAGCCTATGTATTATTTTGATGTATAAGCTATATTATTGTAAAGTTTCTTTAAAATCGATTCAACCAATTTTCCGCGAAAAAGTAACTAATATGCATTCATACTTTCGTCTTTTAAAGACGTTACTAAGATTGTTATAGAACATATTTTGAGTAATGATATAAAGAATAAATAAATAGTGTGCATGTGGATTCATAAGAATTAAGATATTACGCAGCTGTACTATATAATTACACTGTAATTTATCAGTTAACAAAATTGAATACAGCGATGCAAACCTCAGCAGTAGAAATATTTCAGATCAATATACCTGAAGGAAAAAATATTTTTTAAACAACAGACACTATTCTACCGTTATTCTCTTTGATACATAAGGAGTATCTTATCTTCTTTTTAATTGTGGGCACTCTAAACTCTAATCTACACGAATAAAGACAATGTAGAATATGTGAGGAATGACGTGAAATTATATGGCTCTAGGATTTTGAGGCAATAAACTTAATGTAAGCAATTAAAAATAGTTTATTTCATAACTCCGGTAGAGTTATAAAATAAACTATTTTTAATTCAGATGTCATATATCAATCGTAATACAGATGTCGACGAGCACAAAGATGCTGTAGATCTTTTTATAAAACAAAATCGCAAGTTACAAGTTTCACATATTGTAATGAATATTACTAACTACCATACAGATAAATACTACACTTGAAACAAGTATTACTTTTAAATTAATAAATAAAAAACTTTTTATTTTTCTAAAGAAAAAACAAGTATTACCAAAGTTTCCATGTCGCATACATTTTACGTAATCATAAATTTGAGAGCTACCGATATATTACGTTGTTCGTCTACCAAAAGGAAGTTTTTCAAACATACGATTAAAAAATTAAAGCATTAATTAAATTAAGATAACACAAACTTATTTAGTTGGTATAAAAAGAGACATTTTTTGTGATATACAAATAATTAATGCAAATAAATTCTCTCACAATCTCTCAAATTTATTTCCGCGTTGCGAATATATAATGGTATATTGTAGATATAAGAAAATATGTTAATAATTATGTCCGTCAAATTTAAATAAATTTATACTATAAAGAAAGAAACTGTTACACGACTAATTGTAACAATATAGCATAGTTAAACTGTATTTGCAATGAAATTATTATAATAATATATAATTATTATAAAACAACTTAAAAATACAATATACCTACTATATTACAAAGTGTTAAATATACAAGCTAAAAGCCATAACATATACATATAACTAATCCTGACACTGAACCACTTTCACCAAAACTGAAACCTGACAGTAAACACACAGCGCCATCTAGTATAGCCCATATTAACTTCTACCATGATTTCTAGAATATACTTAAAAGTTATGTTTTTAAATATATAATCAAATGCAATTAACTTTATTTGTACAAAAGAGTGATTGTATTTATAGTTTTTTGAGAAACTAAAATCTTATATAAAAATAGAAGACAGTAAAGATAGTACACGAACTGGCTTCCTAGATATGTTAATAGATAACCTGTCTCAAACCTCGATTATTGATATAAAATCCTATACATATTAAAATAACAACTACAATATGTAAATAAAAATACCCATACCAATAATAGTATTAGTATAACATCATACTCTTTAATACAAATATTTTAATGTTGAGCGGGAATTGAAACTGCGACCGCCGGAAAGTAAGACAAATACCAAATTACTACACCTCCGCAGTCGTTAACGATTCTGTTGTTGATTAAAATGTAACTATAATGTAATAAAAAGTAGATCAAGGCTATTTCCTTATCATCTGCTAAAAACCTTTCGAACAAGATTAACCAGTAATTGTTTAAGACATTTTTTATGTGCCTACAAACGGCTAAATATAAATTTTCAACTGGCATGAATAAATTTATCGTACTTTTCAATGTGTGTTTTAATATTTTTTGTTATTTATATGTAGTCATAAATAGCTATGTCTAACATTATATAGAATACTGGTTTCTACCCACGAATTCGTCTAAATAAACTTTCACCCCTATTACACAGCCGTTTAGGTTAATTTTTTGATTTAAATAATAGCATAAGTCCGTTACAATTATCAGGTCCTACCTCAGAAGTCAGGCATTTCATAAATTATTTGTAAAAATATTTCACATATAAAGAAATAAATAAATTATATAAATTATCAAGTCGAATTGGATCATGAAGAAATGACAAACAGACAGAAAAACAGATATACACTCTTGCTGTTAATCAACTGCGTGAGTAGTAAAACAACGCACACCGCTTCACATTCGATGGTCGCGGTTTCGAATCCTAACACGTTACAAACATTTTAGTACGTTTGTTTGTATCGTTCTGGGTGTTTTCTATTTATATTATGTATGTAAAAATATCTATGTGTTTCTAACAGCGTCTCGTACCCATAACACAAGCTCTAGCTTGGGACTAGATGGCACTATGTGAACTGTCTTGAGATATTATTATAAATATCAATGTCCGCGATTTTACCCACATTAAATTTATAGCTCACATTCTAATGTATAATATATATTACTGTACAGTCTCATCAAAATCCGTTCAATAGTTCTTGCGTGGAAGAGTAACAAATATTCATCCATCCATCTATACACAGAAACTTTCGCGTTTATAATATGTATATTAATAAGAAGTATGAATTCAAACTATTCTAGTATACTCAGGTACACTCAGTATTAAAGTAGGTAATGTAACTTTTCTATTAAGGATACCTAAGTACAAAATCAATTCCATAACAAAACATGTCACAAAAACAGAGCCCCCATCGAAATTGCCGTCAATTTACGTTTTTTATACGTAAACTATATTTTCTTGTTTATAACGGAAGTGAAGTGTAAATTGTATACGGAGATTGGACAGAGGTAAATGAAGGCATGTACTTAATAATGCGTACGTTGACGACGTATATTTGATATTTTTAAGTACCACAGAATCACATTGTTATGAATTCAAATTGAAATATTCATTATACCTATATAACATTGCAAATTACGGCATGCTGTTACTATAAAATCACAGAGTTAATATACTGAATTTAAAATATTATAGTTTCATTTATATATGTGCATTCATTAAAATTCATTTCAATTGAAAAAATAATTGCAATTTATTTCACTTCACATGGAATGCATTCGTTAATCCTTTGACACATCCATCCATGCGGATATGAATCCCTCAAACGTATGTATATTTATTTGTCACTTTATTCAGTTGTCATTTTATTTCGTCACATTTCATTTATCCATTAAATCATTATGCGTGCCAACCACTGATTTGTCATCATATTTTCCCTAAGCATTTAATGATTCTCTAAAAGGCACGATTGTTCTAATCTTATGTGAGAGCGACACCTTGCGTATATGGATTTATTTCAATACATTTATATAGTGCAACATATTTATTACCGAAGTGCTAAATATTTTAATAATTTGACTTTTTAATGTGATAAATGGCACATGTTGTCTATTGCATG